TTCCCACTCAATCAAATAGTTGTCATATGATTGTTGATCTTCTGGATGCCTAAAATATGCCTGTGTACAGTGTACGACATCTACTGGAGACCGCAAGTCCTTGCATCTCTCAGTAATCCATGGCAAAAATGGCTTAACTAGTTCATGCAATGTGTCATTGGATTCTTCACTACCCTCTAGCCAAAAAACTGTGGCTATGTTATCGTCAATTTTTGGTGTTTTAAGTTTTTGTTCCTGCTGGAGCAACAGTTCAGTTTCGAGGCCACAATCCTGTATTAACATGCCCAACTCATTTGACACTTCAATTTCATTCTGGAAAGAAATATCCAATTTCAAAAGTTTTATCAAATCCCTTCCCATTAGGTTGTGGGGACAGTTTGGGGCTATTAGAAATTCATGTTGGAAAGTCTGCTTTACTCCTGATTTATAGGTAACTGTGCAGTCTAGAGGTTTTGAGTAAAAAACTCTTGTAGCCAAACCATTAAATCCAGATACGATTTTCCACTTTTGAGAGGGCTCTAGACTGCATTTTAATGAACTAAATGTTGCTCCAGTGTCTACCAACAGTTTCTGAGGCTGTCCCTCAATTGTTATTGTGATAAATTTTGGAGCCACGTTAATGCATCCCTCTCTATCTGGACCACGGCATCTTCATTTCGGTAATAAACTGAGTTGATGAGCAGCGACCTCTGGTCTTGACTCTGTCATCTGGTGAGTGGTCATATACTGTGGCTGTGGTTGGCCCAAGACCATTGGCTGTTGTGGTTGTACCTGTTGAGGTGCCTGATACATCTGGTGTATTTGTGGTTGCTGGTATGGCTGTTGCGGTTGTGCCTGGTGCACTTGTGGTTGTTGGTATGGCTGTTGTGGTTGTGCCTGGTACACTTGTGGTTGTTGGTATGTTTGAAATGGAAACTGCTGCTGACCTCCTTGACCCTGCATGTGTTGCATTCCTCCCGTTCTGCAGTTTCTTGCTATATGTCCGTACCGTCCACACCTGTAACACTTCATGTTTGATAAATCTCTGTCCTGTCTAAATTGTCCACCACCTCTACCTCTGCTATTCCTGGGGAATGTCTGGAACCTCTGTCCTTGATTTCCATAGGGCATGTATCCATTCATTTGCCATTCATAATCTGGTTGCTGCTGTATTTGTCCAGTCTGTATAATCTGCTGTGGTTGCATCACCTGTGTCTGCGTCTGAGGCTGCAGTGGACTTGGATTACCACTAAACAACATTTCTGCTTTCTCCACTTTTTCTGGCTTTGGTTCAGATTTTTTAATCTCTTTAACTAATTCCTTAATCAGTGACAAACTATCATCAGTTTTGGGGCTGTTTTTCTTCCGAAGTAGCTTTTTAATAGTACAATATGACCTAACAAAAGCTGCGAGTCAGTATCCAAATTCAGAATGTGTTTTTCTTTTTCAGCTGTCGGTAGCTCCCTGAGCATCCGCTGATAGAACATTTTTTTGATCAAATCATAGGTTGGGGTGGACTCTCTTGGATACAATGCATCAAACTCCTTATTTAATCTATGCTTCATGGCCTCGGCTGTCTCTCCATCTTGCACTTCTAGATTTATGGTTTCCATAGCATTCATGGGCACAGGAAATAACGTTTCCATTTTTTCCATCACAGCTGAATACCATGCTTCCACTGAACAGCTGTTTGTGGCTCGAACTGCAACATTTTCAAATCCTGGGGACATGATTGGAAGGTGGACACCGAGGACGGTAGTGAGATCATTTAGGGTTAAATTTTGAGCAGGATAGTGTTCCAGGATTGACAACAAACATGCTCTGCCCCCATACTGCCTTGGGTCTTTCATTCTCAATTTTATAGAGTCAATTTCAGTTATAGTGAGCGGTTTTACATGTCCTGATCTCTCTGCCGGACCTAGATGTCGATACCACAATTGGACACATCGACACATCTTCTCCTTGTCTGCGCCTAGCTTTCCTCTTGTTCTGTCGCCTTTCCTGTTGATAATAAATTTCCCCACTCGTACCGTCGTCATCTGAGTGTTCAGCTGTTACAAACGCATCTGAGCCGGTCATCAATAAATCTTCGTCTGACGAGCTTGATTCTGCATCTATAGTCTGATTAGATCGAGTAAAATAACGATGCTGTCTTTCTTTCCTAACTGTAATCGGCTTCTGAAAGCTGATTCTTAAATCTGTCTTCTTCCTCGTCCCTGAGTGCTGGTCCACTTCTTTCTGGGCCTCTCTGTCTGCGCCTCCCTCGCACCTCTGGGCTGTCACTCCTCCCGCCCTCTGCTCTTGCAGCTCTGCTCCCTCCCCTGCCTGAGAAGTATTCTCTTCAAATTTCGGACTAGAATGACTAATAACGTTTTTTCCATTAAAACCATTTGCAAATGAATTTCCCCTAGTCCCTGGGGTATACTGCAAGTGAGATGGGCCTCCCTGAATCGTGTGGTTTTTAAGCTCACTTTCCAGTCTTGTCAATGTGTCATTGAATTGTCTTTCAGCCACTTGCGCCACAATTTCTCCAACCTGATCAATGTGTTTCTGAAGCTGGGTGGTCTGAGCCGTAACCTCTCGTACCTGTCTGAGCGCCTCTTGGGAGTGTTTTTGGTCCAGACTCTCCTCGTCTGTGCTAGTCACGGTACATTTGATTGGCTCTTCAAATGTAATCAATGGAGCCATTGTTACAGAGTCTTTACTTTTCACTAATTCTGTTAAATCTGGATACACTGGAGCATACGGTGGAGGGGAAGAATCAGGAGCTGTACTTTGCAATTTGGCAGCAGTCATCCATTTTTCATTTAGTTTGATCATCATTGAGATCAGTGTAACCTCATCTGTCAACTTTTGAATTTTCTTATTTTCTAACGGCTTCTCTCTTTGCATTTGAGAACGTTTCTCCAAAACTAATTCTCTTAGTTGTTTCATTAACCCTTCACTTGGGGGTGAATCTGACTTAGCTAAAATACCATCTTTCTTTTTTGATTTCAACCATGTTCTCATGCTCCTTGTTGTTGTATTTTTAATCTCTGTTGTCCCCTCTAAATACTGTATAATCCCCTTTATCCACTCATCTAATGTTACAGATGCCATGTTTTCTACCGTCTAGATTACAAGCCTTGTGTTATCAATATCAATGTAAAGAATCAGCAATTGGGTGCGTAATCTTAGGGCGTCAGATCGTGGTATCTCCCCGTTCGACCACAAATGTGGTGGGGAAATGTACGCACGAATCGTGACCCCGTCCTACGCGACCCAAATTACTGCGTTCACTGTGACCGTGGTGCAATGGTCACTTCCACAGAAAACATCAATCACTCATTCACACCAAGAGAAAAATTAAAAGTGAGAAAAGTTAGACACTTTCCCTGTCCTCTCCCTCTCGTCAATTAATTAAAACACACAGTTTTCTCCTTTAACTATTAAATCACTGAGATAGCACACAGTTCACTCCTTTTAACTCATAAATCACTTAGATCCTCACACAGTTCACCTTTTAGGTTGACTATCAATCACTGAGATTAAACACACAGTTTTTCTCCTTTTCTTAAGTCACTTAGACTTGAATACTAATATCCCAATAAATATAAAATACTTGCAAGCAAATCCTTCAATATTCACCCTACTTTTGTTTGTTTTTATTTTTTTATTTTTAGGTCTCAGGTCAGGTCAAAAGGAAAGATTAATTAGTTGGTAACAATTCTTACCGTTTTACTTTGGCGCCAAATTAATCTTTTCTTTGACCGGTCCTAGTGTCTCCTGTCGAATCCTGTTCGAGCGACGCCAAGTTCTGCAGTAAATTCTGTCAGAATTCCCCTGTCCCAGAAGCTGCAGACAGGCCGCAACACAGCTCGTTTCGTTCTGCAGGCCCTTTTAGTTCAACAAGAGACAAAAACCAATGTTAAAACAGTAAATAGAAATGACAGATACCAAACCTGATTTCAAAAGGTTATATTGAAGATTTGCAAGCAATATTACAATATTAACGGTCTGCAAACACAAGTCTCGCTTCGCAAAAAGCAAAAAGTTCCCGTGACCACTTCTGCACATCCCTTTATTAATATTCCAACATAACTCGTACTAACTCTTGCTAATGTAGCTAGCTTGTACTTATTTTGCAAACTCATGCAAACTCTTGCTAATGTATCTAACTCGTGCTAATGTTCATTTTGTACCAACTTGTGCAAACTTTTGATAATGTAACTAACTCTTGCTAATGTCGCTCACTCATGCTAATGTGGAAAAAAAAGGTCACTCCCTTTAGCTTTAGTCCCTTTCTGACTTGCGCTGGTCTCTGTCTGTTGTGAAGACACTTCTACACTCTTTCAGTAATGAGGACTAATGATGAATAACCTCTGACGGCTAGTTGTGCTTTCAAGCAATTCACGATGCTTGAAATCCGGTGTAACGCCGAGATACACTGTCTTGAAGAGATGCACAGCCTCAGCTGTTTATGATGTAATGCAAACCTGCGCATGCGCGTCTCACGGCAGCCGGAGCATACCAAGATACTCTACACTGGTCTGTCGGGTTGATAATGGAAATAATAAATTTAATTCAATACATGTATCGTACTGTATTTAATATGATTAACAATAGTGTGTGGGTCTCCCTCCGTGTAGAGTTGCCACAGGACGCGTCATCAGCCTACGTCAGCAGCCGCGGACTGCTATGAAAACATTAGCTTTGTGGTTTCACAGGCGCAGTTGACTGCTTAAACTAAACTTTACACGAAACTTTGACTCTTAAAACCCACATATGACAACACGGAATCATCAACATCTCGCCTCAAATTGCATTAAAAGTGACATTTGTGTCTTAATTCGTTCGTATTTCAACTTTTAAAGCAATTCACGGTCCGCCATCTTGGTATGCTTCGGCTGCCGTGAGACGCGCATGCGCAGGTTTGCATTACATCATAAACAGCTGAGGCAGTGCATCTCTTCAAGACAGTGTATCTCGGCGTTACACCGGCAGTGCTTTTGAAAAGGGTTGTGTGTGATTGTTGTGTGCAGAGTCCAGCTGGCGCCTCCTGCTGGACGTTCTGGTCTGTGCAGAGGCTCCTCCCACTCAGCAGCTGGAGCAGAAGCAGGCTCTTGCTCAGCAGGTGGCTCACATCCTGCACTTCACTCTCCGCTTCGACGAGCTCAAGGTCTTGCTCCTCTTTACTCTTCAAGATAGCCAGAGAGAGAACATAGAGTGAGACCAGAGAGAGAGAGACCATGAGAGAGAGACCAGGAAGAGTACATAGAGAGAGAACAGAAAGTGAACAGAGAGAAAATAGAGATAAAGACAAGAGAGAGAGACCTGAGAGAAAGACCAGAGAGAGAGACACAAGATTGGGAGAGACCAAAGATAGAGACGCAAGATTGAGAGAGCCCCAAAGAGAGAGACCAAGGAGAGAGATTAGAAAAATAACAAAAGAGAGAGACCAGAGACCATGTTCAATCTGAGTCTATAGTTCTTTGACTAAGGCTGCAGAACCAGGACTTTCCCCACAGTAGGGTCAGGATCTAAATCCAGAATATTACATATCCCAGTTCCACCACTAGGTAGAAGTATTTTTTATGATTGTAATATATCATACCATTACTCATCCTTATCTATATTTTATTCTCTGGTTTCTCATTCTAATACATCAGAGTACATTATCTCAGGGCCAAAACTATTTTTTTAGTGTTTTGAGTTCTGTTCTTGTCTTCTCAGATGACCACTCCGGCCATTCAGAATGACTTCAGCTACTATCGACGGACCATCAGCCGCATGAAGATTAACAAGCTAACAGTACGGTTGTGTGGTCTCTTTGACGTTAAATAGTTTACACAGAACCATTGACCGTTCTGAACTCTAAATTCACTAATGAAATATAGTTCAACAAATAGAAAAACCCATGCTAACTCTTGATAATTCTTGCAAATTTCGCGGAAAATAAAATACGATGAGGCGTGGAATAGGGATAACTCAGCATGTGCTAAATCATGCTAACTCTTGCTTATGTCTCTAAATCTGACTTGATCTATCTGATAACACAGGGAGAAACCCAAAACGAGGTCAACAATGAGCTAGCCAATCAGATGTCTTTATTTTACGCCTGTGCCACGCCCATGCTCAAGACTCTGAGTGATGCCACCAACAAGTTTGTCGTGGAGGTAAGTCTCAGTAAATGTAAATCTCAGTAAACGTGTCTCAGTAATAGGGGTGTCACAATTTTGTGTTTTGATCAAAATTACGTCATGGTCTTGAGCATTGAAATCAAAAAGTGGGTCGACGATCACTGTGTGCGCGTCCCCGTTATGGTTGAGATTAACCCAGACTATTTTTTAAAGTGCCGGACCAGCGCTTCCAGGTTTTTTCGGTAAACAAGAGTGCATTAAAGTGGTGAGTAGTTGTACCCGCAAATCAAACACCGAGGAGGCAGCCGGTAAGACAGTACTTGAGCCACGCTACAGCACGCTACAGTGTGCTGTAGGAAAAAAAATATTTGAGAATTGAATCAAATTGTCACCCTAAAATTGAAAATAAAATCTAATCAAGGATTTAGAGAATCGTGACACCCCTACGCAGTATACATGCTGACCTCTCCAGTCTCACTGTACATGTCTCAGTATACACACAGACCTCTCCTGTCTCAGTATATATGTCTCACTACACATATACAGACCTCTCCAGTAGGGCTGCACAATATTGGAAATTAGGGCTATATTCGATATGAGTGTTTAGTATTGCAATAACGATATTATTACGATATTTTTTCTTTCACCTAAAATTGCAATTTGCATTGAAAAGCAAGTGACAAATAACAAAACATTAATGACATTCAAATGCATATATTTATATACTTTTTTGTTTATATGTGTGTTTGTTGCATTTGTTGAATGTCGATGTGACTGTCTGCTTTGTTATATTTATTAAAGGAAATACATTTTTGTCCCGCATGTTTTCAATATTGATATCGCACGCACCAATATCGCAATAACAATATTTTTTCAATATATCGTGCAGCCCTACTCTCCAGTCTCTCTGTACATGTCTCAGTATAATTGCAGACCTCTCCTGTCTCAGTTTATATGTTTCTGTGCAGAATCCTCAGGTTCCTCTGGAGAACACCACAGACTGCCTGAGCACTATGGCAAGTGTCTGCAAAGTGATGCTGGAGACGCCGTAAGTCCACAGATCCTGACTCCTCCTGCAGTCACCCAAAAATGTCTGCCGAGACAGAGAGAATGCCATTCATGCCTACTCTGCGGGCGGTTATCCCCCTCTGGCTCGGTGGGAGAGGGAGGGTTCTGCGCAGTATATTTGCTGTTCCTCGAGCTTCGGGGTCACTGCACCGATCACTACGGGCAATACTGTCACTTTTACCTTCCAGGACCTTTCCAGCTCCTCCCCTTGGTATTTTTCGAGCTTATATTGCTCTTATTTTCCTGATGTTACCATTGCTTGGAATTGCTACGTCCACCACAACGGCTTTCCTCTGCCCTTCGGGCGGTCTGTATCTGGAAGTCCCATAGGATCTATGCACGCTCATTCTTCACCTCCTTTGGAGGAGTTTCCCATCGTGACCTTGGGGTTTCTAGCCCATACTCTGAACAGATGATCCTACACACTTGGTTATGGCATAACTCGGCCTCTATCACTCTGGTGCTCAGGGCCTGCTCCTGTGCAGCCATGATGAGTGCCTCTGTGCTGTCCTGTAGGCCAGCCCTTTCTAGCCATTCATAGAACTTCTTGAGATCAGCTACTTTTGCTATGTTCCGGTGGCACAGGCCGTGTAGGGGTACTGGGCCCTCCTCCAGCACCAGTGTAAGGACTTCAAGATAGGAATAATGTGGGCTCTCTTGTGTCTGCGGGTCAAAAGCCTCGCAACAGAATTTTGAGCAATTTGCAAACAAGCCAGATCTTTTTTACTAAGACATGTAAGTAGGCTGTTACAATAGTTCAATTGCGAGCAAACAAACGCTGGACATTCATCTCCAGCTCTTGACCTGAGACCATATGTCTGAGCTTGGAGATGTTGGGCAAGTGGTAGTTTCAGTTTCTGATCAGCTGTTTGGTGTGTTGTTCTAGGACTTCATCAAACGTGACTCCAAGGTTTCTCAAACTCTTTTTTACTGAGCTGCTTAGGTCACCAATGTGCTGGGTAATAAGAGGCACAATACTGTACAATACTACAACTAGCGTTTCCGTTTTACCAGAATTCAGCTGGAGGCTGTAGTCCCTAAGCTATATCTTTATTCTGTCTAGACAGCTAGTGAGAGCGACCAGTCTCTCGGGTTCAGAGGCCTCAAAAGAGCAGTACAGCTGGAGATCATCAGCATGCAGGTGGTTGGAGACCTCACTGAACTGCTGGATCAGCTTGCCTAGAGGGAGTAGGTACATCAAAAACAAAATAGGCCCAAGAACGTACACTTGGGGTACACCCCACTGTTGGGGCAAATTCTGACACCATGTTATTAGAGGACACACAGAAGTGTCAGGCATTATCTAAACCACTCCAACACAGAGCCTGACATGCCAACCACATCCCGCAGTCTGGAAACCAAGATTCCATAATCCACAGTGTTGAAGGCAGATGACAGGTCTAACAGTACCAGGACGGAACATTTACCAGAGTCCGCAGCCATCATGATGTCACTGGACACATTCAGTTAAGCTGTTTCAGTGGAGTGGAACATCCTGAAACCAGACTGAAAAGTGTCAAAAATGTTGTTTGCCTCTAAGAACGCCGTAAGTTGATAATAAACATGCTTCTTTTGATGGTCACTTCAGAATCAGAGTCCTTTTATTACCATGTGAGTAACACATAGGGCGGCACGGTGGCCGAGTGGATAGCAATCTCGCCTCTCAGCAAGAAGGTGCTGGATTTGAATCCCGGAACAGGGGCCTTTCTGAGTGGAGTTTGCATGTTCTCCCCGTGTTTGTGTAGGTTTCCTCTGGGTGCTCCGGTTTCCCCCATCACTAAAAATGAGAGAGTGAATGGATGGTGTTGATTGGGGGCTGATGCGCCAGTGTGTTCGGCGACTCGCTTCCGTCATCACCGTGTGTGGAATGATTGGAACAATATGTGAACTCTGAACATTGTAAAAAGCTTTTGGTGACCTTGGTCTGTAAAATTCGCGATATAAATAAAAATGACTCACTACTTACTAACAAGAAGGTCAGTGATGGTTTATGAAGTATTCATGAGTTCGTACAGGCGACGTACAGGTCCTGCAGCAATGGGAGGCTGTGGCAGATAACCTTCTCCGCTGTATTCTCTGCCTGTCCCTGACTGTGGCTCCAGCGAACCACACGGAGATGGAGGAGGTGAGGATGTACTCAATGATTGCTGTGTAGAATTGCACCAACATCTGTGCAGGCAGCTTGGCTTTCCTGAGCGGCCTTTCTGCTGGACCTTTTTGATGAGGGAGCTGATAATCGGCTCCCACTTGAGATCCTGGGTGATGGTGGTGCCCAGGAAATGAAAGGACTCCACAGAGGTGATGAGGGAGTCCATCAAGGAGGGCGGGGGGACTTCCTGAAGTCAACAATCATCTCCACTGTCTTCTGGGCGTTCAGCTCCAGGTTGTTACCACTGCACCAGGACACCAGCTGGTCCATCTCCCTCCTGTAGGCGGACTCATCATTGTGGGAGATGAGTCCAATGAGGGTGGTGTCGTCCGCGAACTTGATCAGCTTCACCGAGTCGTGGCTGGAGGTGCAGTGGTTGGTGTACAGGGAGAAGAGCAGGGGAGAAAGAACACAGCCCTGTGGGGCTCCTGTATGTATAGTCTTCTAATCTATAACTTGTACCTTACCATTGGCCTCAAGGGTGATCTGCCACATCCCCATTCTTTTGGAAACAAAGTTTCTTAGAGCTCTGTGGAAACTTCATTCCATGATCCATGTGTGTGGCATTGAGTCGTAGGCTTTCTGGTAATCAATCCAGGCTGTGCACAGGTTGGTGTGTTGTGACTGGCAGTCTTGGGCGACTGTTCTGTCAACCAGGATCTGATGTTTGGTTCCTGTGGTATCTCTACCATGATCCTTGACTAGTATTCAAACAATTTAGTTAAGCAATCTAGGTACCTTAAAGCTGCACTAACTGACTTTATTTTCATATTCATTACGAAAATGCTATCCATGTCCATGCAGTGCATTGGGATATACGTCCTTTTGAAAAAAAGTAGCGCAGATTTGTGCTGGCGTGACATTATATTTTAGATCGAGTTTTGATGAAAAAAGGAAGAGAATGTGTTTCGGGTCTCTGATTGTGACCAATCACAGCGGACCACTAGCCCCCACTTTCGTGAGAAATCTACAGGTCTGTTAGCATAGACAGCTGAGTTAGCACAACAAGCGGCGGAGCTAACCTGAAACTTTCTCGTCTTCGTCACCGGTTACTGCTTACACAGCGAGACAGCCATCCAAAAGAAAGTCCCGTTCCTCTGCGCTTTCCGATTCTATCGTTCTATGGTCACGCCATCCACGTGATTATCCATATCCATGTATTATCCATATTGGGAGACGCTAGCTCTGTCAACAACAGTGAGTGTGTGTGGGGGGCGATAGCTTCATGGTGTGGGGAGGGGAGGGGAAAGAGAGAGGCCAGCGAGTCCGCGGCTTCATAATCCCAAAGTCAGTTTGTGCAGCTTTAAGTAGCCAATCTTTGGCATAGCCTTCTCAATCACGGTTGGTAAAAATCAATAAAATGGCCTATAATTAATTTGGCCTAATGAAAATGTTGCTGAAGTATTTTGCATTAGGCTGACTTGGCTCATACACACTTTCAAAATTAAAGGAGCAATATGTAATATTTGCATGTCAAGTCATCATTAAATGACCCGAAAATTTCAAAAGGCGTTATTAAATCATACTCTTTTCGAATCTTTAACTGATAACAGTAGTTCAGCCGAGATATTTGATTATCAAAATTAGTTTTACGACCCGTAAAAGTTGTTATTGTTTTGATTTTGATGTCCTACCCTCCGCCGTTTCGCCAATCAGGAAGTGTCATGTAAGTCCGTGATCGGGTTGCCAGAACTCCGCGCGGCTCATTAAAGGACAACTCACCCTCAAATCCACTTTTTTTTTTGCTGATAAACGGTATAAATGAGTGTCCAATAGTGTTGTCTACATATCCTGGTCATAATCTTGTCACTTTGGTGCAAATTAGTTGAAAGTTAGACTTTCTGCCTAAAACCATCTGTGAGGCGCCATCTGCTGGCGACCTGTATTACTACATTTGAATTTTGAATCTGGCGCCAACACTGGCACAGAAGTTGGACCTGACGTCTGCAAGTTGGACCTGACGTCAGCAGCCCCCCGCCCAGAGCTATATAAACGGCCCAGTCTCGTTCACGCCCCCTTTAGTCCTCCAGGCTACGCCCATTTAGAGGAAGATTTGAACAGGAAATGTGAGTAACGTAAGCTCCGAGGAGCGGGGGTGAGAACCACTTTAATCTCAGTGGTAAAATAACATGTGGCGCAGAACTAAAAAAGGTCTTGTTATGACTCTCAAATCATTAATGACAAAACAAAGACTAAAACAAGGATTTATATCGGGATGCCTTTGAACAATTGAGACAGCTGATAAAAGTTCACGTGTGATGCAGAATTTTCTAGTTTGAGTCCGTTCTTCACAGTGTCTCCACTCGTGTGAATCGGTGGTCTAGTGGTCTAAACTGTGCGCTTACGATGCAGTAACCCGAGTTCGATCCCGGGCTATGTCTTTTTGTATTTATTGCATGTTATCACATTCTATGACAGATTGCTCTAAAAACGGTAAAAGATGAAGGTCAAGGTTTTTGCAGATTATAGCTTAATTGTAAAAATAATCATTTAAGACCACATGTACCCCAATTAAAATAATGTTAGTCTCTTTTTGATGTGGGACTTTTACATGTTTGTCTAAAAAATAGGGAATAAATAAAATTGAAAGGTGATATCCTCTTGAGCAAACCCTGATGTTGATACGCTGAAGAAATACGTTCCAACATCCATTCTTCCCACTCCTATTTTGGACATCAATTGCTTATTTATTTTGCATAAACTATGTATAATTACATTGCTTTTATTTTGTTTTTGTTTTTTATCTCAAATGTCCAAATAATAATAATAAAAAAACATTAATCAAAACATTCATTCAGCATTAGCACGGCTGTCATGGCAATGTGAATGGAGACGGACAAACAACTGATAAAATAATTCCCTGTGTTTGCTGCTGGATTTGGTGTGAATCTGGCAACCGGAGTCAGGGAGAGTGGGAGAGGACTACAAAATATTGACTGTGACTGCAGTACCACTTTTGGCCAGATTTTTACATATTGCTCCTTTAATGCTCAAATGTTGAATTTATCAAAAGGATTTTTTATATTTTGCTCTGCAGTGCCATCTGGATAGTGTAACTGATTCGGTTCGTGTCACTTTCAGTGTTTCGAAGCGTTTTATTAGCCCAATGAGTTTCCTGGCTTCTCCTTTGTTCAGATTGTTTCAGCGTTACGCAGTAGGATCACTCTCTTGTCATAGTTACAGTATGTGAGAAGATAAAATGGTATGAATTGTAAACCCAATTTGGAAAGTGAATTAACAGCCTATGGAATTATCTACTGCTATTCAGCTGCAGTGATTAAATTTGTCCATGAGATGTCAGTGTTACAACTGACATCCTTCGCTCCTGCGCAGATGAACTCTGTGGAGTGATGGAGCGAGTCTTCAACCTGAGCCTCAGGCTGAAGTCGGTACCACAGCTCTGGAAGACCTGTGTGGTACCAGTGCCCAAGAAACCACGGGCCAAAGACCTCAGCGATTTCAGGCCAGTGGCTCTAACATCCCACTGCATGAAGACACTGGAGAGACTGGTCCTGGGACATCTCTGCTCCACTCTGAGCCCAGCGATGGACCCGCTGCAGTTCGCCTACCGGCCGGGCATCAGAGTTGAGGACACCATCATCACCCTCCTCCATCGCTCGCTGTCCCACCTAGAGAAACCTGGCTCCACTGTGAGAATCCTTTTCTTCGATTTCTCCAGTGCCTTCAACACCATCCAGCCGCGGCTTCTCAGAGACAAGCTGGAGACAGCCGGTGTGGACTACGACCTGTCCCAGTGGATCCTGGACTACCTCACAGGCAGACCCCAGTTTGTGAGACACCAGGGACTGCGTGTCGGAGGTCCTGGCCTGAAGTGTGGGGGCCCCCCAGGGGACAGTCCTCGCGCCGTTCCTCTTCACCCTCTACACTACGGACTTCAGACACAACACTCCAGGAGTTCTCCAACGACTCTGCCATCATCGGACTCAGCTCCGAGGACTATGACACAGAGTACAGAGGAGTTATACAGGACTTTGTGGACTGGTGTCAGCGGAATTACCTCCTCATCAACGCGGGGAAGACCAAGGAGATGGTGATGGATTTCCGCAGACGTCACTCTGCCGCTCCAGCCCCAGTGAACATCCAGGGAAAGGACATTGAGAGAGTGGACTCTTACAAGTATCTGGGTGTTCATCTGAACCACAAACTGGACTGGACTCATATTATAGACGCCCTCTTCAAGAAAGGCCAGAGCCGGCTCTACCTGCTGAGGAGGCTCAGGTCTTTTGGAGTGCAGGGGCCACTCCTGAAGACCTTCAATGACTCTGTGGTGGCATCAGCCATCTTGTACGGTGTGGTCTGCTGGAGCAGCAGCATCACAGAGAGGGACAGGAAGAAGCTGGACAAGGTCATCAGGAAGTCCAGCTCAGTCCTGGGCTGTGCCCAGTGGGGGCGGGTCCCAGCTCAAAAGTGGCCAAAATTACGTGCGCTTGCAATACCACCCCGGGCCGATGGGGGTGGACCCAGAAGAAGAATTAGCCAATGCTAACATATAGCATTGCCAGACCTCTCGAAAACGTCTTTACAGGATGGACCAAAAGTTGGCTCTTGGCCCAAAGCTCCGTTCCACATGTGTGTCAATGCTGAGGGGGGTGATTTTTTTTGGTCCACTCTAGTTTACTCGCTGTGAATTATTGAAGTCTCTCGTTCAAATGAATGGAGTTGCGCCGGCTGACGCATTTGCAGATGCGTTTTTTCACAATTTTCTTTTGGGCGGGTCCACTCGCGGCCATTTTGGATTGCTCCAGTAGAGCAAATTTTTTGGCCCATTAGTTAGAACGGCGGAGATAGGCGTGACTCTGTCCGTTAATATATACAGTCTATGGTTGTGCCCTGGACACAGTGCAGCAGGTGGGGGACAGGAGGGTCCTGTGCAAACTAACATCTATGCTGGACCATGACTGTCACCCCCTGCAGGACACTCTCTCTGCTCTGGAGAGCAGCTTCAGTGACAGACTTATTCATCCTCGCTGTGTGAAGGAGAGGTTCCATAGGTCTTTCCTTTCTGCTGCTGTCAGACTGTACAATAAGAACTGCTGAGCCTGTAAATTTCATTCATCTGTAAGTAAATTCTTAAATCATGTGCAATGTGCAATACTGCAACTTCAGAATATCCACTGAACAATGTCACTTCACTTATCTACTTATTATCCTGCACTATTTAACTGTACAGTATATAACTCCGGACTACTACACGTATATATTTTTTGACTGGTATTGAAGCATTTCCAGCACTTTTTTTGTATACATTGTGTGCTCCCTGTGTGCTCTTACTGCTGTCTTGTATGTGCGCTACAACATCGAAATTTCCCCACTATGGGACGAATAAAGGAACTCTTATCTTATCTTGACTTAAGCCTAGTGCATACTTGCGCGGCGTGGCTTACGCTAGCGGTTGCGGTGGACCTACGTAAGCACAATTGATGTTATACTGGCACGTTCCCCTTACGGAGTTTTGAGGAGAATGTTGTAATCCCACAACAAACCACATGAGGGCGATCACACAGGAGCGGTCCCATTTACGCTGCTACTTTGTCCTCTTCAGAACAACAATAGCAAACAAAGCTGTTTGAGCTCATTACACGTGTTTCTACTGTAGGTTTATGTGATAGTTTTATGGATTCAATATTTTATAAGTCATTTCAACTGTGATGCTGTGACTAAAGACACAGTTCTTGTTGGAAACATAGTTATTAATAAATAGTTTTCAGCACATTTCAGCATATTGTGATCCAAATGAACAAGATAAAAATGATCTGACGAAGGCTAAGGCCGAAACGTTAATAAATACTAGATCTTTTGGACATCTATCCGAGTGTGCTGTGTATTTTCCACATTTAAATATCTGAGACAAACATGAACGATTTACGAGTGCAGGAGGAAACGCAGCTACGATTCAAACAAAGACAGGAACAGTGCAAAACAAACGACTGCACAATTTATAAGTTATATATATGTTAGAAAGTCCACAGTCTCCTGTATATCAGGCTCTGAGCCCAAACTGCTTTTCCTTCGAAGCACAAAGCTCTCTGCTCCATAGTGCCTCCTCCATGTCCCTGCTGCAGCCGCTTCATGCTTCCTTCCAATACACACACACGGACCAATCACAGCGGAGATTCCTTGCGGCGACCCTTACGTAGTTAGAAAATTTCGATGCTGCGCGGGAGGCAATGTAAGGGCCTTGCGGTGACCAACGCGTTGCGCAAGTGACGTCACGTCACCTCCGTAAGCTCCGCGCGAGTATAAACTAGGCTTTAGTTTGAGATAGCGCAAGGGCTTCGACACACTTCAACCAGTCTGGCAAGGAAAGCCTCAGTGTGTTCAAATTTACTGTCCATGGTCATATGGCCAACAAAATGTGTTTTATTTCTGTCCAACCAACTCCAATAGACCTGTGCAGGCCCTTATTTACTTCCACTTAAAGTGGTCTACAGTCAAGTGCAATCCAGTGAGCTAGGCAGGCCATTGGTTATTTTTTCAGATGTGGACTTAGTTCCCCTGGTCCTTAAAGCAGTCACCTGTTGGAGTGTAGATTGGGTGTGGATCTATGTACTGAGGTTAATGTCCATGCTAGCTGCTCTATGCACCTTAGAATTTAGGTGACATTCAATCTGCTGGGGTGACATGTGAAGACAACCACGCTCTATAAGACCTTTCCATCCATTCTGGTCTTTCTCTGATCTCTCTCTGTTTGCTCTCCGGTAGCTCGCTGGTTTCTCTCTTGTCTCTGTGTGGTCCTTCTCTCTCTCTGGTTGCTCTCTCTGGTCTCTGTCTGGTTGCTCTCTGGTCTCTATCTTGTCTCTCTCTTGACTCTGTGTGGTCTCTCTCTCTCTAGTCTCTCTCTGGTCTTTTTCTCTAGCTAAACGCAGACAAAACTGAAATGATTGTCTTTGGTCCCCAGAAACAAAGAGAGAGTGTCATCTGTCCTTTACAGTCTCTCCCTAAAACCTTCAAATCAGTTCAGATGTCTAGGGGTAATACTGGACTCAGACTTACATTTTAATAGCCACATCAAATCAGTAACATCAGCAGCTTTTTACCATATAAAAACATTGCCAGGATCAGAAACATTGTGTCTAAAGCAGACATAGAGATTCTTATCCATGGTCCACCGGATGCGGCCAGTACCAGCTTGGTCTGTGTAGAACCAGGACCAAGTGCGACTAACTAGGGACCTGGTACAGGTTCAAGAGGGCCAATGGAAACACTCCCAATCAGGGGCGAGTAGAGAATAGTAGGGCCAACTCGAGTGGTGTAGACTCAAGTAGAGACAAGTAAGTTTATAGCAGGAATGCCATAACAACGATGATGCCATTACAGTTGTGATGTCATAGTGGTTATGTCATAACAGTGGTGATGTCATCCACAGAGAGTACCGCAGGCGCTTCAGCTCAGAGGAAACCGTGCTGTTCTGTCTGCGCGTCATGGTGGGAGTGATCATCCTGTTCGACCATGTTCACCCCAGAGGAGCCTTCGCCAAGACCTCCAACATTGATGTAAGAGCCCCCCCAAAGAACCCCATCTACCCTCACAAAGGGACCTCACCCCTCTCCCAAAAAGCACCCAACTCACCTCTCAAAGAGCAGTCACCTCACCTCCCAAAGAGCCTCCACCTCCCCTCCAAAACATCCCCCAACTAAGCCCCCATAGAGCAGTCACCTCACCTCCCAAAGAGCCTCCTCCTCCCCTCCCAAGGAGCCCCCACTTCATCCAACCCTTTCTCAAAGCACATGCAATGTTTGTCATGGTGAATGTTGTGGAAATGTGCTGATTGAAATTAAACATGTTTTCTGTCTTTCTACTCTATAAAAGGTTTGTGCTTTAGGTAAAAACTCTTTAAACTTGTTCTGTGAGTTTGTGTCTGAGGTAATGGCTTCATGAAAGACTTGTGAAACACACAGATCATTGTGATGTTAGATAGATACTTGATGAGCAGAGACAACCGTTTTGTTTGTTTCAGATCAAAGGCTGCGTCAGACTTCTGAAGGAGCGGCCACCAAACAGCGTGGAGGGCCTTCTGAACGCGCTAAGGTATGACCCTCAGCCTGATATTAACCATGGAACTGTACTGTTCATTAAACACATACCTGGAGCTGTATTTAGCTTCAGCCATGTTGATATTAGGATCTTCTGACACAAACGGCCCCTGTCTCGTGGACAGAGACGAGTCAGGTTTCAAACATCATTATGACAGGAACAACAGGGGGCAATGTTGTGAGTACGCTTTCAAAACCAGCACCTGTACCTGTACCTGTAGAACAGTGACACCAGCACCTGTTTGGAGCGAGATGAGACAGAGAACAGTGACACGCGGGTGAACAGGAGACGAAGCTCTGAAGCAGACGTACAGTTGCTCTGAAGCAGACGTACAGTTGCTCTGAAGTAGACGGAGCTCTGAAGCAGACAAAGATCTGAAGCACACGGAGCTCTGAAGCAGACGGAGCCACACTTGGCTAATGTTCTGCGTTGTAGGAGTACTGTAAATCGTATCAATATTATTTTAACAATGGAATGATAAAAAATTGTGTAATTCGCAGGTACACCACCAAACATCTGAACGACGAGACGACACCCAAACAGATCCGGAGCATGCTGCAGCCAAACTAAAGTCCTGAGGAAGTTTTTATGATCTGTTTTAATCGTGCCGTCATGGCCAGGGGAGTGGGCGGCGTGAGGGGCTGGTCCCTTCACACAGGGGATGAGGGCAAAGCATCAGGAGACAAACACCAACCTGCACACATACAAATCAGAGCCGGACGAGAACAAGATTCTGTGGCACAAAATAAGGATTTTATAGAAATCCGATAGATAAATTTTTTTTAGGGATGACAAGGGAGTTTAAAAGCCTATTGAGTGAACACTAAGGTCTATGGAGAAATTTCCTTACAACCCATGTGGATTTAGGCTGCTGCACTACTGTCCACCACTGGCACCCTCCAGATAATATAATACATCCATGGCCATGGATAGAATCTTTTTAATCAGGTGGAAAGAAAGAAGCATATATGACAACACAAACACTAGCAGTGTCTTGTGCTGTCCAATAATAACCTAAATGATTGTATTCCTTATTTGACTGGCCCTTGCTCTTTTAGATCCTAGCTTTTATGGACACTGAAGGAGCCATGGGTCAGAGAGCGACCCAAAAGAATTGTTTGAAAATAGTGTGAGAGCTATACTCTTGTGACTTGAATGTTTCGTCAACTTTCTGCTCCTGGAGCTTTTGACTGGGACATGGACTTTGGACCCTAGACCATTATAGCTTATCAAATAGACGTTTCTGTACCTTTGTCTCAGTAACCCTGTGTGGTCCTGCTTTCTGAGCTTACATGCATAGATAATCTCCACCACCTATCCCCTCCCATTCCTCTGGACTTGATATAGTTCTTTGTACAAAAACAGGTTACGAAATATAGAATAAAGATCGATGCGTGGTCTAATTTAATGCAAGTATATGTTCATAAACCATTGTCAAATCTCATGTTGTGGTTAATAAGAAACTGTATTGTGTGTGCTTAAAATTATACTGAGGTGAATACAATTTAAAATGTTTCCTTTTTGCTCTTGTCTTGTGTTTTCTCCATGACTCAGTGACTCAAAGAATGTTCACCTCAACCTCGTCAGGAGTTATATCGTCAGTGTTATAAATTGTGTTATATTTTGAGGATTAGAGGCCCCAATACACAGAAAAAAACATGTTAGATAGATTTACTATGCAGGAGGAGTGCGTAGTAGTCAAAGACAAACACACAGAAGAGCTCCACAGAAGTTGTGTGTGTGGACCTGGTCCGCTCACTAAACATCTGGCTGTTAGGATGTGGAACATCACCTATTGGACTTGTGGGGGAGGTCGATAGGTACCAATTAGATAGTCGCCCTCACCGCCACACATCTTGGGGTCTGGAACACGACTCCTTGAGAGGGGTTAGACGCTCCACTTTTCTTGTGTTTTCCACGGGGAGATGTGGCGAGCGGGTGGCCACACTCATTGCCACTATCTCAGCGCCTCTAGGGGGGCCCTTGCCAATCCAAGATGGCGTACCATTCAAATGAATGGCTTGTGCTCAGTAGCCAATGGGACATACACGGGGACTGAGAGATTAGCAGAACTTGTCCATATGAGCATTGTCGGGTCCTCCCAGTTCTTCGCAGTGAACGAGCTCCCGTGATGCTTTGCGCCAAATACCAGTGTGTGGCTCTCATGCACGTGCACAGGGGGGCTCGACACTAAAGCCTAGTGTATAATTGCGCGGCGTGGCTTACGTTAGCGGTTGCGGTGGACCTACGTAAGCACAATTGATGTTATACTGGCGCGTTCCCCTTTTGGAGTTTCGAGGAGAATGTTGTAATCCCACAACAAACCACATGAGGGCGATCACACAGGAGCGGTCCCATTTACGCTGCTACTTTGTCCTCTTCAGAACAACAATAGCAAACAAAGCTGTTTGAGCTCATTACACTTGTTTCTACTGTAGGTTTATGTGATAGTTTTATGGATTCATTATTTTATAAGTCATTTCAACTGTGATGCTGTGACTAAAGACACAGTTCTTGTTGGAAACATAGTTATTATTAAATAGTTTTCAACACAAACAGAAAAACAATAATAGTGGTAAATATCTGAGACAAACATGAACGATTTACGGGTGCAGGAGGAAAGCAACAAACGCAGCTACGATTCAAACAAAGACAGGAACAGTGCAAAACAAACGACTGCACAGTTTATAAGTTATATATATGTTAGAATAGTCCACAGTCTCCTGTATATCAGGCTCTGAGCCCAAACTGCTTTTCCGTCGAAGCACAAAGCTCTGCTCCATAGTGCCTCCTCCATGTCCCTGACATTTTTCTGAGCAGCCCTGGTGAATTTAGTCTGCAGTACCGCGGGCACCCCCTGTGCCTGTGAGTGGGACAGTTATAAGCTAGTAGTACTATAGATCAACGGTCCAGAGGCACTTTGGTCACGTGATTGCAAAGTATCAGTCTCTATCCATGACGTGAGTTACTCATGACATGTCGTGAGTAACTTATCCAGCCCTGTCTACAGAGCTGAGTGTCCTCCCCCTGAGTGGGCAGCAGGGGGCAGAATGGAATCGCTAACAGCAAACATGTTGTTATGTTGATAGGGCGCTGATCTCAAGGCACTTCCTGGTGCAACAAAATTGCTTCGATGTTGCATTCTGGGAAATATAGTTCGTTTTTTCTGAAGGCCGACACGTCGTTTATTCGCACGTGGATTGATGGAGGCTTTAACTACACTTTTGCAGTTACTCATACCACGCTAGTGAAAGCACGCTGCTGCATTGCTGACAGCACGTAGTCTTGTGTTAATAGAATATAACGTACATATCTGACCACACTACACTGCCCACGCTGCTGCGGAGCTGTGCAGCACCAGGGACTAGAGAAAGCACTATGTTGTTATCATCATTCAAATGTTATTATCATTTAAAAAAAAAAAGATGATTGTGATGGCACATTTGTTTATTCAAAACGGCACACTTAGAAAATCATAGCAAACAATACACTCCAAATAGATAAATACATAGAATAAATGTTTGTACAGTTTTAATTTTGTGAGATCACCATGGGCTCTAAAATAGTATTATTAAAGTATGAGGTACCACTATAGACTGTATATTATTATTAATGAAGTCATTATTTGCTGCTCAAGTACTGCCGACTACTGTGTATACTTATACTTGACATTATAACTCCGGAGTTTATTTCTTATAGATGACAATGAAATTTCCCCACTGAGGTTTACCTTATCTTATCATAATCATGGATCTATAATAATAATATCATAATACAAAACGAAGTAAACAAGAAGATGCTCAACTGCATTCACCCAAAATCTAAATGTTTTGACATAAACAATAAATAATCCATTGGCAACACACAAGATATAAAAAAGCAACATCTTTGTTGTTATGCCGCACTAGAACTCCCAGAGCAGTTAATGTGGCGGCTTAATTTCGAAGTATGCAGCGTATGTACACTTTCGGTCTCCATAACTTTGTGTCTGTTTCGTAATCAGTATCTAGTTTATTTATAATTCATTGTTTTATGTGAGGAGTTGAGCACTTTTAGCTCCTCAATTCATTTGAATGTAAAATTCAAATGAATTGAGCAGAGAATAAATAAATATCATTCAAATGTAGCCATATTCACTCTATGGTAGATACATTTTTCTCCAATGTCCTGGTCCTAATACTGGACCTGGACCAGGTTCGGAGTCAGCTGGTTTTCCTCCAGAGCAGAGTGCCAGTTACCATAGCAACACACTGTTTGCAGTTAGCATTTAGCTTTTCAACTTTTTTTTTTCCGTTCCCCTAGTTTAGGCACATCAAAAACTGAGTAAAGGTGAAAACCTTATACATCATGAGTCTAAAGTGTTAACACATACATTATCCTAGTTTCACTAAGTTATTTTCAGTTTGTTATCGACGATAATTTGACTAATACATATAGCTAGTAAACACAATATGGCCGCCGGAACTCCTCTCGCGCCTTCTAGCCCCACACATAACCGCCGTGACGGTAACGTCGGCTTCGCCGCTTCCGTGTTGTCCCTGTGTACTTCTGCTGGTACTTGTGATCATCCCGCGGCTCGTTAGCTTCACCCTGAAACCCGCCCTGACAGCTCGCACCCTCCTGCACCATGGCCCCTCGCTGACAGCCTCCTGACCGGTCAACATGTCGCTCTCCCCGGGCTCCAAGAAACCGGAGAAGAAACGCGTGATTCTGTCCGGTACCTGCCCGGATCCGCGCTGCGAGGCCAGGCTCTTCTTCCCCGCTCACGGAACCGCGAGCATAGAGTGCACCGAGTGTGGACAGCGGCACGAGCAGCGGAGCCTGCAGCGGGTGGAGGAGGTACGGGGTTAGAGGGTGGCTGCCTCCGGGTCTTCTCCGGGCTTGTTCCTGGTTAGGTCCTGATCTGGTCTGGTCCGGGTCCGTTCCTGCTCTGGTCAGAACAACTGTGGGACTCGTCCTGGTCCGGGTCTCTTAAGGGAAATGCTGCATGTTGTTGACGCACTCACGAGCCTGTTTGTCCAGTTACATTTAGACATAACATTCGTACTCTTTCTTCGGAGACGCAGGCCTTAAGTTTTGCTTTTGGTTTCTCAGCCGACCACATCTTGCAACAGCAAAAATGGGAAGATGTTAGCTTACTTGATATTTTAGCCAGATCAAATGCATATGGATGAGTGAGTAATGCCTCCCAGCAAGAAGTTCACAATCGTATTCCACATATAGAGGGAGCTCGGACTAGAGCCGCTGCTCCCAGATAGCATGTGGAGGTCAGTCACACTGGAACAGCTCTGAGTAGACTGCTTCTCCACGTGTAGAGGAGCCAGTTGAGGCACCTACGGGCATGTTCCCCCAGGAGGAGAGCAGTAGAAGACTACAAACACGCTGGAGGACCATGTCTCAGAGCCATGGACAATGCAAACCCAATAACCCAATACTTCAATAAAGCCCATGAGTGAAGTGCTCTTGCTGAAGTTTTACTTGCTGTGTTTCCTATTGACATGTAACAGTAAACTCATCTAGCTTTGTGTCACACTCACCATTTTGGGCTTAAATCTGCGGTTTAGCTTTCTCTGTGATCCTGTTTTTTGTTTTGTTTTAAAAGATGGATAGATCTTTATTTTCCCCTGAGTGAAAGTCATTTCCACAGGCACTGTCACATATTATTGTCTTTTTAATTATAAGAGCTTAACAATATGATGCCTTCATTCACATGGGGAAAGTCCAGCTTGCCCTAGCAACACGTTTGCCCCTATTACCGTGCGAAGCTCCAGGAAAAAAAATGCCTGACTCCAGCTAGCTTATGTTCAAACTGGCCTCTTCTGCTTTAAGGCTAACAGTATGGTGATGTCACACTTTGTTAGTCCCCTCTTCATATACTGGCTATGCTCTCAGCTGGAGTAAATGAACTAAACCTTATTACTGTAATGTTGTTGAACTTTACCACACATGGTTAAAACCCTAGGTCTAAGGACCAGTAATATAGAATGTTATCTCTCCATTTTGAGGAGGTATTCTGTCGCTACCACAAGTTTCTGCGCATAAGTGGAATCTGATCTTGTGACGTTTCTCCTCTGCGTTTACATCAGGCTTGGAACAATAGGTATTAAATGAGCGGGCTGCAATGCACATATTGAGAAGCACAGAGAGAAGAGCCTCACAACGGAAAGATTTGAGACGATATGAAACACAGTGATGACGACATACACAGACTTCAAAGGGCCGGTCTCATGTCCAGACTCTCTGGTCCTGGTCACGTGTTGAGACTGAGATTGACTGATCGTCAACGAGGGTCAGGTTATATTATATCAAACACACCAGATCAAATCAAACTGTTCGAACACAGGTAATGCAATTATAACACATGGCAGGGGGATGACCACTGTCAGGCTGTAGATCCAGGTCTGAGGCCTGGTCCTACTCATGCTGTTGTGATTGCAGGTGACTGATCCTGATGTGGTACTTCATAACCTCCTGAGGAATGCTCTGCTCGGGGTCAGCTCGGCTCCAAAGAAGGGAACAGAGCTGGTCAAGGTGAGCAGCCCACACCTGATCAAGTTGGTGAGTTCTTCAGCCTCATCTGAGTTTGTGTTTCCATCTCCAAGGTGATGGGTCTGTCCAACTACCACTGCAAGCTGCTGTCGCCCGTGCTGACGCGGTACGGCATGGACCGGCAGACCGGGAAGGCGCGGCTGCTGCGTGACATGAATCAAGGCGACACCTTTGACTGCGCGCTGCTGGGAGACCGCGCCTTCCTGCTGGAGCCTGAGCACGCGGCCACAGTGGGCTACGGCAGGGACCGCTCCGGCAGCCTTTCCTACCTGCACGACACGCTGGAGGAGGTGAGGACACGGTCATGGCCACTGGGTGCTGGGCGCGTAAAGAAGACTAAAGCTGTTTGTGAGATGTATGGGTAATGTAATCACCAGGGTCTGTCTGTTTCCAAGATAATTAAGTCATTTTTGGACACATGTTGAAAACATGAAATAAACAGATATCTCCGCTTTGACGCAGAAGCCGGACGCAGAAACACTGGTGATTAACAGGCCTTTGATCAAACCAGGAAATATAATTATGTAAAAATATAGAACACAGTTGTTTTGAGATTATAGATAAACGAGCATCTCGGGACTCAAGTGTGGAGAACACTGTGCTAGCTCTGTGTCTGTCTGAGGAAAGAAGATGAATGACTTTTTATAGTTATCTAGGTTAGCACAAACCTTGTTTATTTGTGGCCACACAATGAGGCTCCGGTACTGTAAAGTTGGGTACACACCGACACAAGTACTATACAGGACACACATCCTGATCCGCGTGGCTCCTCTGTAGGTGCGGCGGTCCAACGGCGGACGCGAGTGCCTGATCCCGGTGCACGTGGACGGAGACGGCCACTGCCTGGTGCATGCTGTGTCCCGCGCTCTGGTGGGCAGGGAGCTCTTCTGGCACGCCCTCCGGGAGAACCTGAAGAGTAACCTGGAGCTGAACTTAGACCGCTACAAGGCGTTGTTCCAGGACTTCATTGACGCAGACGAATGGGAGGACATCATCAACGAGTGCGACCCCCTCTTTGTGCCGCCAGAAGGTACCAGGCTTTCACAGGAGCACTGTTCTGCCTCCGTCTCTCTCTGGTCTTTCTCTTGTCTCTTTCTGTTCTCTCTCTGGTCTCCCTTTCTGGTCTCTCATTGGTCAGTTAATTAAAAGTGTGTGTGTGTGTCAGGCGTGCCTCTGGGCCTCAGGAACATCCACATCTTCGGCCTGGCCAACGTCCTGCACCGCCCCATCATCCTGCTGGACTCTCTGAGCGGCATGCGCAGCTCGGGGGACTACTCTGCCACGTTCCTGCCCGGCCTGGTGCCTGAGGAGCAGTGCTGCGCCAGAGACGGCAGGCTCAACAAGCCTTTGTGCATCGCCTGGAGCAGCTCAGGCCGCAACCACTACATCCCCCTGGTGGGCATCAAGAACACGCAGCTGCCCAAGCTGCCCTCACGCCTCCTGCCCAAGGCCTGGGGGGTACCGCAGGAGCTTATTACCAGGTACAGGGCTCCACACAGCTCCACACAGTTTCACACATCTCCTCAAGGATCCTTGGGGTAACACGTGTGATGTAATGGTGACAGGAGACTTGCTGTAGTGTTCGGTCTTCACTCTGACTGTTCCTCGTTCTGCAGATATATCAAACTGGAGCCGGACGGTAGCTGTGTGATCGGTGGCGACCGTAGCCTTCAGGACAAGTACCTGATGCGGCTGGTCCATGCCATGGAGGAGGTGGGTCTTTAACCGTTTAATCTGATTCCATTAAATCCTAAAAACAATTTTTACATTTAAAAAGAAAGGCCAAAATGTCTCCCTGGGAGCGGAGGCCTTGGTCTCCTCTCTTGGTGCAGTTCCAGTCCCACAGGTCTTGTTTGTGAGGGAAAGATGGAGGTGACAGTAACAGACGGTCGGTACAGCGACTGCAGTGATGTGGCTATTGTATCGGACTGTTGTGTTAAAGAGGGAGCAGCGTCTGTCCAAAAGCACAAGATAGACAATACAAGTGGTCCACATGAGTGGTCCTTAGAGTAGCTGGGTGCTCCCTTAGAGATGGAGTAAGGAGACTAGAGTAGAGCTGATACTCCTGCTTGTCCACGATAACCAGCTGTGGTGGAGCGAAAAGGAGGCTTGTTTCAGTTGACTCCTGGGTCTTCCCTGGGGTCTACTCCCCAGGGAGTAGACCCCAGGTAGTACTAAAAATATGTACAATAGGTCTGGCATGCGCCTCCTGTTCGGCGACCCCGCTCCCATCTCAGTGTGGAGTGAGAGGACAAGTGCCCAAAAATAACAATTGTAAACCGCTTTGTGACTCTGGTCTGTGAAAGGCGGTATATAAATAAAGATTACTTGCTTACTTACTTACTTCTCAGCTGGCCTGGAAACCAATCGCCAGATAATGGATGACTGTTTTAAAAAAGTGATGACCCGTGTTGTTGCAGGTGTTCATGGAGAAGCACGGTATCCACCCATCACTCGTGGCCGACGTGCACCAGTACGTATACCGGCGCACTGGAGTCATCGGGATCCAGCCCGAAGAGGTGACTGAGGCAGCGAAGAAGTGTGTTCAGGAGAACCGTCTGCACCGCTGTCTGCTGTGTGGCGCCCTGTCAGAGTTGCACGTGCCCCCTGAGTGGCTCGCTCCTGGGGGGAAGCTGTACACCCTCGCCAAGTCCACACACGGCCAGTTGCGGCAGGACAAGAACTACAGCTTCCCCCTCAACAATGTGGTGTGCTCCTACGACCCACAGAGGGACGTTCTGCTGCCGGACTACAGCCTTAGCTCCCTCAGCACCTGCAACTGGTGCCACGGGACCTCAGTGCGGCGAGTCAGAGGCAACGGCTCCGTGGTCTACCTGGACGGGGACAGGTGAGGTCTTTAGACTTTGTGGTCTCTCTGGATGGGGACGGGGACAGGTTTCAGCATTTTGGATCCCATCAGTTCATTAAACCGGCAGAGGAATACTGCACAGACTACAAGTACATTTGACTCTTTTGGCTGAGAGCAGAGTGACATTGGTCCTCTCCATTTCACTTTTTTTGTTTGAAAAAGTTGATTTTAAGATATGACAGAGGCCAAAAATACATTATGTGAAAATGTTCGTTTGAGAATCAGAAACTAGAGACATGGGTTTTATTACAGAGTTCTGTAGGTGTGTTCTGAAAGTTAAATACCCCAGCTAAAGTGACGTACGAAGAAAGTGCAGCCCCTTTGACAACAACTCAACCAAAGCACAGCCGTAACATAGTACTGAGCACGGACTATAGATGCACGGACAGAACCATAGATGCATGTTCAAGTTTGCCCCAGTTTGTTGCAAGTGTGGGCCTCCCCCATGTCTTTTTTTTATAATATCTTCCACAGTTTTTGAAAACAGTAGACGGGGCTGGAGTGCTTCTTGGATGTAAAAATTAAATGAGGAAAAAAGTAAACTTTTGGTGCTCTTCAGTGGAGGGACCAATGTTGATAGTTCAGACAGAAGACTGAGGCACTCAAAAGTTACAACAATCTTTAAAAGCCTTTATTTGACATTGTAACTTTTGAGTGCCTCAGTCTTCTATCTGATCTTCCACAGTTTATTGCCACTTTATTGCCAAACTCTTGTTAACTCATTGTATTGAGAAATATTTGGGCAAGTAACTTTTGACACTGGGCAAGTAAAATGGTATTTGCCCAAAGGGCAAGTTGCTGACAAAGCTTAACGTAAAGGCCGGCCCAGCTTTAAAGTTAAATCCAGGTAGAACCACTTTCTTTGTCCAAGTAGGACCAGGACTACAGTGTATTTCTCCGATGGCATTTGTTCTGGCGAAACATGTCCATATCTGGGCTGTAAGGGCCTTCTGTGTCCACTGGGGGGTGGACAAGGCCAGAGCAAATATCACTGTATGAACTGAATGCAACTGTAACAGGCGCAAGTAAATTAAAGCTGAAGTACTTAACTTTTTTAATGTATGATACAGTTTGTCAATAGAAAGAGTCCTGGAAAAGTAACGTGTTGTCTTCATCTGATCAAAAATAGTTTTATTGTTTTGGGCCTCAGTCTGACTCATTGGGGTCTGTGGTAAGTAAGTAATTATCTAATATAGCACATTTTACAGACCAAGGTCACCCAAAGCGTTTTACAATGGTTTAGAGTTTCTATTCTCTCCACGCGGTAATGATGGAAGCAAGACGCCAAACACACTGGCACATCCCCCAACCAACACCATCCATTCACTCACTCACTACGTTCATACCTATTATACATGTTTTTGGTGGTAGGAGAAACCGGAGTGCTAGGAGGAACGTACAAACTCCACACAGAAAGGCATGGAGGTGGAATCGAATCCAGTATCCTCTGGCTGAAAAGCACAAGCTCTAACTCTGCACCACCGTGTCGCTTAAATCCAATTCTGTTGTTACAGGACCAACAGCCGGTCGCAGGGAGGCAAGTGCGGCTGCGGCTTCAAGCACTTTTGGGACGGGAAGGAGTACGACAACCTGCCTGAGGCCTTTCCCATCACTCTGGAGTGGGGCGGGCGCGTGGTGAGGGAGACAGTCTACTGGTTTCAGCACGAGATGGAGCCGGCCTTAAACAGCAACGTGTACGATGTGGCTATGAAGCTGGTCACCAAGCACTTCCCGGGCGAGTTCGGGAGTGAGGTCCTGGTGCAGAAAGTGGTCAACACTATCCTGCACCACACGGCCAAGAAGAACCCCGACGAGTACAACCCAGTGAACATAGACGGAGCACACGCCCCACGGGCCGCACCGGAGGGCCCCACTGAGTCTCCCACTGTGTCCAGGTGAGGAAAGCTCTGTGACTTCCACGGTTCAGTCGTCGTTGTAGACCCAAGACTGAGGCTCTTGGTTCAAGACCTACGCTCTTGGTTCAAGACCTACGCTCTTGGTTCAAGACCTACGCTCTTGATTCAAGACTGAGGCTGTAGATCCAGGACTGAGGCTGTAGACACAGGTTCTGTGTAGATGTCTGTGTTTTTCCCCGGTTCTACTCTACCCTTCTTTCCCCTGATTGGGAGTGTTTCCACGAACACTGTTTACCCGGTACATGTCATTCTTTAGGTAGAGTGGAGTAGAGCCAAATAGAGCTGGTGGAAACAAGGTTTTTGATGATGTATTATTGTTATAAGCAGATAACTTCATTTCCCCAAATGTGTTCTTGACAATAAGGCAGAAAAAATAAATCTTAAATTGAGGAAACAATCTTGTTAAATTTTCCAGAGTGTTTTAACTTAACTTAAAGCACATCTTCTTCACATGGTTTAGCTCATTGTCTCTGTGTTTATATGCAGTGCTTCCTCTGAGCCCCAGCCCCCGACCAAAATTATCCTCATGGGTCAGAAGTCCAAAACTCTTCACCGAGAAGAGCTGACCATGAGCCAGGCTGAGCGCAGCGTCCAGCAGAACATCACGGAGCACGCCGCGGCCAACCAGAGACGCCTGAGCCACAAACTCAAGTAGGTCTGGAGGTAGACTGAGATGTGTGTGACTCTGTGTGACTGTGGGACTGTAGTGCCGTACCACACTGTAGTCGGATTATGTGGTTCATAACTTATAGATACAATATTTAAAAACTGCACATTGGATTAAACTAGTTTTCCTCAGCTCTTTGCATTCTGCCCGTAATGTTACAGCCCAAAACTGAAGCAGGAGCGTGTGAGCAGCGAGGCACCGGTCTCCCAGGACCCGCCCTCCTCCGGCCCGGCTACGCCCTCCTCCACCCCAGCCACGCCCTCCTCCAACCCAGCCATGCCCTCCTCCACCCCTGCCATGCCCTCCTCCACCCCTGCCATGCCCTCCTCCACCCCGGCCACGCCCTCCTCCACCCCAGTCACCCCCTCCTCCGCCCCGGCCACACCCACCAAGTCGTCGTCCCTGTCAGAGAAGAAGGTGCGTGTGACGACCAGCGACGGCAGGCAGGCCATGCTCACGTTCCCCCCACGCTGCACGTACGGTGAGCTGCAGCAGAGCATCGCCCGTGAGTTCAGTGTACCGCCGTCGCAGCAGTGCATCCGCCTCGGGTTCCCCCCTAAGGAGCTGCTGCCCCCTGCAGCCGGGGAGGAGAATGAGCCCGTGGCCCTTCAGCACGGCGACCGGGTGAGTGGTGTTTCTTGATTATCACCGTGGACTGAGCTCTCTCTCTGTCTGTCTCTGCTCTCTCTGTTTTCATCATCAGTCTGGTCTCCTCTGTAGGTGAGTGTGGAGGTCTTGTCGCAGCGCAGAGCTCCAGAGGAAGTTCTCAGCCCGCAGGCCACACCCCCAGACAAGAAGCAGGGTTCAGGCAGCACGAGGGCCAGTCGCGAGCTGCAGGACAGCATCGACCTGGAGATGTCTTCCCTCTGTCTGCTGGCCACACTCATGGGTATGCACACCAGTCTACACATCTGCACGAGTCCAGCTCTAACATCTGCATGAGTCCAGTTCTACCACATCTGCAGTGTGTGTGAGCCTTGTGTGGTTTTTCTGCTGTTTGGCTTTCTCCTCCTTCCGTGATCCTGGAAGGAGGAGATGGGTGGGATTGAGCACATTCAAAAGACTCTTAGGAAGTCAATGGAGTCTCTCATCATGCAGCAGCAGTCTTACTATCCTATTTATTTTTGTTTTTATTACATTTTGAAACATCTGTGAACTTGAGCCACAGACGCCACTATTCGTGACTAATAGGGGTTTGTCCAGGCTCTGAATCCGGGACCTCTTGTAGAAACTGGCACAGGGTTCGGACAAAAGAGCCCATGATACTGCAGACTAAATTCATGTGGGCTACCCAGAAAAAAAGTCCCTTAGAACTCAATGTAAAGTAAAACGGCTTGACCTCAGCTGACAGAGAACCTACAGCTTTCAAATAGATCAGATTTTGTGGGGATTTTAGTGTCCCTCTTCATCCTGAACCCTTTTCTTCTCCTTAAATCCTTCGGCTTTATTTAAATCCACAGTTTACTGCCACAAACTCTGCTCCTTTTTTTCCCCGCTCCGGCTCCACTCTACCGCTGCTCTGATCAGCAGCACTGATTGGTCAAAACGCGGCTGAGCCCCTCTGTTTGCACCTGCATGAGAGCTGTGCATGGGAGGACCAGACGATGCCCAAATATAGGCGAGTGCCGCTAATCTTTCAGTCCTCTTGTATGTCCCATGCACTACTGAGCACAAGCCATTCATCAGCGGTGACACAGCCTTGGTCTTTCAGCGGGGGCTTTTGGCAATGTGGGGTTAAGTGTCTTGCCCAAGGACACAAAAATAGGATATTTATTTAAAAAGAACTTGGCATGGTGAGAACTTGGTGAATGTGATCAGTCCTAACCGCCAGCAGCAGCAGCACACAAACTACACAAGGCTGGGGTCGTCACACTGTATGTGTCCAGTTCTCACATCAGCATGAGTCCAGTTCTAACCCTGAGTCTATCTTTAATCAGCAGAAGTCCCAAGTCATGCTAACCACCATAAAGATTCTGTTTTGGAGACCTGTTTGCACCAACCCTGTTTGGCCCTGCTCTGATCAGCTTTGCTCTACCTTACTTTACTCTGCTCTACTCTACCTGTTTGCTCTACGCTTTAGTATTTGGTACAGTATACTAGCAACGTACTCGGAATAAACTAGTATCCGGTAAAGACCCTTGGTAACCATGGCTTCCAGCAACACTCTGGCCAGTCACTGTCAGAACTAAAGAAAGACCTGAATCGTGATGTGAATTTGTGCAAAGAGCAGAAGTCTTATTTGACATGGTTCTTATTTTACTGAGTAGACCCAAGCCCGAGTTATATGAATAGAATAACCCACCAAACGGGTCAAGATCTAAGTGAGCAGAGCAGAGTGGAACTGATGTAACAAGGAGAAGACGGTGCTGTGGTTTGTGTGATGCAAAACAAACACTGCTCATCTCCATCATCCCGAGAGTCAGATATGAAATATGGGGCTGCTTTTCTTCAGGAGGGATGGGGAAGATGGATGAAGCCAAATGCAATTATTAAGTCTCAAGTATTGGAAAATACTTGGTTTTCCCTTCCATAAAGCCAGAGCTACAATGGAATGGTCTGAAATGGTTTGGGCCCCAGTCAAAGTCCAGACAAAATTAAAGACCTGAAAAATGCTGTTCACAAACCATCTGATCTGACAGGGGATCTAGATGTGTAAAGCTTGTAGGGTCAGAACCCAAAAGAAAAGCGATTACACAAACAATTCACTCAGTTTCTCTGTTATACTATTATGGTCTTTGTTTTATGGGAATACACATGGCAACAAAATGTGAAAAAGTTCAATTTTCATAAGTACTTCAAGTACCTATCACAGCCACTAAATGGTCACAGTGACAATTTCCACCTCGACCACTAGAGAGCACTGTCGGTGCATCTCTAACTCCATTTCCATTGAGTTTGTTCTATTTCTAAAACATATCACAAATTAATATTCTTAAAACAAAGTTTATGTGAATATATCAACACATCCATGTGATTCACATATGCTTTTTTCCACGTTCTAAATCGCTTCTGCTTTAATTTTGGTCTCCCTCTGGTTATTCCCTGGTCTCTATGGTCTCTCTCATGTGTCTCTCTGGTCTCTCTTATCTCTGTGGTCTCTCTCATGTGTCTCTCTGGTCTCTCTTATCTCTGTGGTCTCTCTCATGTGTCTCTCTGGTTGAGTTCTGAATGACCGTTGGTAGGGATGCACGATATAGGCACTTTGTGTTGCCTTGTGTAGGAAAGGCGCTCTACAAATAAATGTTGATTGATTGATATCGGCATAGATATATATATATATATCGGCCGATCATCATTTCTTAACCCATCGGCATCGGACCAATGGGTAAAATTGATCCGATAACCACAGCTGATGTGTATTGCTGGCTTCCAGCGTTACGCAGCGGCGCAAAGTCCTCAGGGAGAGGAAGTACTGTCTATCTCCCCATTAAGGACAACGTAAATATTCACTGATTCAGAGTCATAATGCTCTGTTTCTGTGGCGTGTGCAGTTGTGGCAACTGCTCGTATCAAGTGGAGAACTTATGGAGTCTCTATTTTGCTAAAATATACTTCTATCGGGTGTCGATTTTTAGGAAAATGCCCAAAAAGGGACGAAAGAAATGCGGTAGCATTAGCAGCCTGCGCAGCATCTGTTACAAACAGTGCTGACAGTCTACAGTTTTCACTTCGCTGAATTTCATAGATACGATGCAGTGTTTTTGTGTAGTGTACGGTTGTAGAAACCGAGGCAACAGGGAGAAAGAAATTTTAAACTTTTTAAATGCTAAATAATTTCTCAAACCAAGCCTGCTAAAAGCAGGTTGTACAATCTAAGCTGTTAGCTTCCTGCTGCATAGCTTCCCCCTGGGTCCGAACTTTTTATTATTTACAGCTCAACAAATCCTGAAATGACAAAGGGTCACATTTCTCTCCTCAAATGTTGTTAAAAGTAACACTTGATCAGTGTTATTGATCCGAACTGTCCACTGTCATCACTGTGACAGACGCTTAATCCTCCTCCATTGTTTAAAAAATTGGACTCATTCACAGTTCACACGGTGTACAGTGTGAATGAGTCACACTCGTACAGCCCTGAAAAAAGGAAAGAAACCCACGAGAGTGATGTGGATGCGTTTCCCTCTTGTAGGAGTTAAATACAATGAGCAAAACAGTGCAAAGTTCCCCAATGTGTCGGTGCAGGCAAAACCAATCACTCAATCCATGTTCAGGCTTGCAAATCATCTTTATGAAACACAAAAATATTAAATTTAGAACTTTGAATACTATTTTAAACCAAATTTATCTCGTTTTTTTGTCCTGTAAATTGTTATTGTTGAATATTTATTCTCGTCTAATTTTACTGTATTTTTATCCAGCATTGAAAATAGTTTTCACTCAAAATAAGAGGGATACTAAGCCGCAAAAAGCTCCTGTATGCGTTTTCCCGCATCGGCCATTCTAACTGAAATAAAAGACATTATGAAAATTGAGGAAGAAATTCAGTATTTACAAACTTTTATCATCTCAGAATAAAAAAATAACATATCGATATTGGCAAATATTGGTTATCGACCATAACAGAAAAATTATTATTGAATATTGATATCAGCCAAAGTTTTCATATCTGTGCATTCCTAACCGTTGGTCCTGATCTGCATTTGTTGCCTCTGTGCAGGTGAAGATGTCTGGACATATGCCAAGAAACTGCCCCACCTGTTCCAGCAGGGCGGAGTCTTCTACAACATTGTGAAGAAGGACATGGGTAATGACGCACAGACGGCCGGACACACAAACACATTGTGGGGACTTGGACCAAAACACACACATACACATTGTGGGGACTTGGACCAAAACACACACATACACATTGTGGGGACTTGTACAAAAAACACCCAGGACTTTGTCCCTTTGCTTCCTGGATGCATATCGAATAAGGACAGAGCAACACAGGTTAGCATGTAGTATTCCGCTGCAGGTATAGCAGAGTTATATCACAATGTTGACCCCAAGAGCTTCACTCACCCAAACACAGCTCCATAGCTTGTTACGCTATTGCGTTACGTCATTATGCAGTCTCGTCCCTCTTGTGACTTGTGTGCAGTTTAAGTACGTTTTCCCTTGAGCCACTTGTGAGCAGAGTGGGTTAAATACCCAGTTGTATTAACACACTAGCCTGTGTTGCTCATTGTGTCAGAAGAACCAGTTCAGAAAGTGGATTATTAATATCACATAGGCCTCTGTGAACTGTGTTTTTCTGTGTTTTTGTTTTTAATTCTGACTTTTATGTGTCTTTTATGTGTGAAGCGCTTTGTGATCCTGGTCTGTGAAATGCGCTATACAAATAAACTTTACTTACTTACTTACTTATAGCACAGTATTCTACGGACTTTCAACCACTTTCTAACCCCCATGTGTCCCAGGCCTGCTGGACGGGAAGCACTGCACGCTGCCCCACCTCTCGGGGAAGACGTTTGTGTTCAGCGCAGCAGAGGAGCGCCTGGAGCTGTGTGTGGACACGGCTGGACATTTCCCCGTGGGGCCTGACGTGGACGAACTGGTGAAGGAGGCCGCCCTGCACCCACGCCCTGAGGCCAGCAAGGGGAGCCGCGAGAGCAGCCCGTCCCACAGCGCTCTGAAGCTGGGCAGCGGAGGGGCCGTGCTCAAGAAGGAGCAACTGCACGGAGTCACAGCCTTCCAGGGAAAAGGACACTCACTGGGCACGACCGGATCCCCGCCCGAGCAGAGCAGAGGGCCCCGCAAACACACCAATGACTTCACTGCACATGGGGTATGAGCCTTTATGTTGTTTGAATTATTAGCTCTTTCTTAGTTAGGGATGTAACATTATCACAATTTCACAGTACAATTTTGATAGTGATACAATTTGATTTCTATACTCAACTATCGAGGTGGTAATGTCAGTTCCATGTCCATGTTTCAGAGTAAAGGGCCGTCATTGGGCGACTCTTCACCTCCAGAGCATCGGCCAATCAGGCGACAGCACAGTAGTGGGGTGGACCTGAGTGCCAGTGTGAGCAGAGGAGCTGCAGAGCTGTCTGACATCGCAGAGGACACTTCCAGAGAGCTGGTACTTCTGAATATTCTAAACAGAAAAAAATCAGTGTCCAGGAGGGTGCACATTAAGCGTAACAAATGTACATAGAGATTTTTACATTTGCCAGGGTTGGAGAGAGCGAGAGACCAGACCAGACCAGAAAGAGGGAGCCCAGACCAGACCAGAGACCGCAGAGAGTGCAGATAGTGCAAGAGACCGGATCAGGGAGTGCGTGAGGCCAGGCCAGACCAGAGAGTGCGTGAGGCCAGGCCAGACCAGAGAGTGCGTGAGGCCAGGCCAGAGATGTAAACTATAGTTTTGGGCAGTGTGAAGATGCCTAGCGTGTCTATGGTTGTCTTTGAGGAAACTAATCTAAAACTGCATCTGATCTGACTGAACTGAAGAGTAGTAGTGGTTCGAGTCTTTGTCACTGTTTGACAGGTGGGTTGTGTGTGGTTTCCAGGGTAACGCGTCGCGGGAGCTGGTGCGGATGGCCCCGGGCTTTGTGACCATGAAGGACGGACGTGGAGGCCTGGATCCTGAGGCCATGGAGCAGCAGCGCCGGGCCCTGCAGGAGATGGTCTCCTCCATCCAGGCTTCCATGGAGCGCAACATGAGGGAGCAGAGAGACAGCCAATCACAGCAGAGCACAGCCCGCCCCCGCTCCCGCCCCCGGGAGGAGGGGCCAGAGGACATGGAGAGTCAGGACACCGAGCAGAGCAGCACTGAGCCAATGGACCACTCCTGATCTGACCCCCCCAACTCACTGAGCCCATGAACCAGTCCTGACCAGACCCCCCAAACCCACTGAGTCCATGAACCAGTCCTGACCAGACCCCCCAAACCCACTGAGTCCATGAACCAGTCCTGACCAGACCCCCCAAACCCACTGAGTCCATGAACCAGTCCTGACTAGACCCCCCAAACCCACTAAACCCACTGAGTCCATGAACCAGTCCTGACTAGACCCACCAAACCCACTAAACCCACTGAGTCCATGAACCAGTCCTGACTAGACCCCCAAACCCACCGGCAGAAACAGGGTCAGGCCTTTGAGTTCACTCCCACACGTCTTAACGTTTGATATCTTTCCGTGCACCTGAGGTTCCGAAGGGGGGGAGGGGGAAGTCATCGGGGACGTACATCAGGGCCTCGGTCTCCAACATGGGGCAACAGTTAGATTTGGGTTTTTAGGGAGACTCTCATTCTGCTGCATGTTTATTGGTCATCTTTTTAAATATATTTTTATTCATGCTTTTTCAAATTGCCATCACATGCAACACAATATATACACATGGGTACAGTGCTCACACATACATACTCCACTTAAATGCTAAACTTCATGTATGTTTTTAACAAGTGTTCATGAAATGAGGATGTTTATCAGTCAGCCCCATGTTGGAGAATTGAACCCTTTGAACCAGAGATTAAAAATCCTGTCAGTTTAAAGCTACAGACCGGTGTTTCAGGCGTGCACGCAAGTGTGTACGTACGAGACTCTATAATCACACGGGTTTTGGCAACAGGGGTTAGCGAAACAGGGTTAGCACCACACAAGTTAGCAACACAAGGGATGGCAACATGTGAGCGCACGCTAGGGCTGCACGGTTTGAGAAAAACATCTAACTGCAAAATTTCTAACCAACTCCGACTTTCTATTGACTTGTCTAGAACCCGACCAGAGAGAGAATGTTTGAACCTATATAGCAACCATTATAGACCAGAGACCAAAAATAATAAACTAGACTTTCCCCAAATGCTTTTCTTTAGTTCCCTTTTTTTTGCAAAGAACTGGAATGTCAGCCCTGGTGTGCGCCTGTGTGCTCGGGGGGTGCTCTCCTCTCTCTCAGGCTTCAGTGGAAATATATACGCACGCGACGCTGTGAAAACGCAAATATTTATCTGTGGCTTTTACAGTTCCATTAATGACTCCCAGTAGATGTATCATTCTGTACAATGTAAAAAAAGATAAATCAATTATAACATGCAAAACTAAACACGTGTGCGCTGCTTTAAAGGACTTTCTCGGAAGTGTGGAGTGTGTTGCTTTTGTTTGCTCGTACACACACGACTCTGCTTTGATATTCACAAAGGACTGATGCAAATATCAGACGTGTCACTGGTAACGTTGCAGTGATGAAGCCACCAGAGGGCGTTCATGAGGAATATATAAAGCAATATTGTGGAACATGGCTTGTGTCGTTTTTCTTTTAATGAGTGGTAAAACCTTGTAATGGAGTGGACTCCTAACCAGAGAGAGACCAGATGTACACGTGTCAGATGGAGTTATTGTTCATTGACACTTCAATAATCATGAGTCTCATTTGGGTTGCCTGTTTGTGGTGAAATCGGCGAAACCTTTAAGGCTATATCCACACAAAGACAAAACGCTTATAATTTCAAATACTTTTTCTGTAAACACGGAGTTAGCTCAGTAAATGTGTGCGTCCATATGAATGTATGATATCAATATCAATACGCCTGAAAACGCTGTGAAACTATGCCAGACCTGTTGGTGGCGCTGTGACACAATGATGGGATCAAGCCCAAACTTCCGTGACGGGAACTGGGCATGCGCGGAATTTTGTAAACAGACAACATGGCGAGTGGGCGAGCTGGTACTACATTAGTATGGACGGACGATGAGGTTGAACTGTTGCAAAACCAACAAGCTACATTGTTGTTGTCATTATTTTCTGAGTGCGGCGCATGCGTGCTTTAACAAGAGGCGGGGCGATGACGCAAGCGTCTCAGATACATTGCGGAGAGGCAGTAACCACGGAGCGGCATATACGGAGTTTTGAAATCTTTCCACTCTGGGACCTACTTTCAAAAATGTTCGTTTACACCCCCCCCAAAACGCCGGCCTCGTATGGACGATACACTGGATTGATAAAGTATTTTTGCGTTTAGGCCTGAGCTTGACTTTGTGTGGACAGGGCCTAAGTCTCTGTGAATCCTCTTTGAAGGCAACGTCTGTAACTTAAAGGACAACTCACCCTCAAATCCACTTTTTTTTGCTGATAAACGGTATAAATGAGTGTCCAATAGTGTTGTCTACATATCCTGGTCATAATTTTGTCACTTTGGTGCAAATTAGTTGAACGTTAAACTTTCTGCCTAAAACCGTCTGTGAGGCGCCATCTGCTGGCGACCTGTATTACTACGATTGAATTTTGAATCTGGCGCCAACAGTGGCACAGAAGTTGGACCTGACGTCTGCAAGTTGGACCTGACGTCAGCAGCCCCCCGCACAGAGCAATGTAAACGGCCCAGTCTCGTTCACGCCCCCTTTAGTCCTCCAGGCTACGCCCATTTAGAGGAAGATTTGAACAGGAAATGTGAGTAACGTAAGCTCCGAGGAGCGGGGGTGAGAACCACTTTAAAGGAGCAAACTGGCCCCGTCCCAATAATCGCACTTCCACCCTTGCGCCCCTCATTTGCGCGTTCCCGATGATGGGTTCTTTGGCCACGCCCCCTTTGCGCCCCTGATCCACACTTCGCCGTAGTCTGCATCTATCATGGATGTATTATATTAACTGGATAGGGTATTACTAGCTTGTAGCTGAATAACTCACATGCTCGGGGGATTCTCGCGGTACTGCAGACTGAACCAGACTAAATTCACGTGGGCTACCCAGAAATTTTCCCCATAGAACTCAATGCATATTAAAACAGCTCAACCTCAGCTGACAGAGAACCTACAGCTTTAATAAAGATCGGATTTTGTGGGGATTTTAGTGTCCCTTGTCATCCTGAACTTTTTTTCTTCTTAAATCCTTCGGTTTTGTTTAAATCCACACTTTAGTGCCACAAACTCTGCTCCTCTGGCTCTCGCTCTAACTCCCGCTCTGATGAACTGCTCTGATTGGTCAGAGCGCGGCCGAGCCCCTCTGTGCACGTGCGTGAGACCCGGTGTAACGCCGAGATACACTGTCTTGAAGAGATGCACTGCCTCAGATGTTTATGATGTAATGCAAACCTGCGCATGCGCGTCTCACGGCAACCGAAGCAAACCAAGATGGCGGACCGTGAATTGCTTTAAAAGTTGAAATACGAACGAATTAAGACACGAATGTCACTTTTAATGCAATTTGAGGCGAGATGTTGATGGTCCCGTTTTGTCACATGTGGGTTTTAAGAGTCAAAGTTTTGTGCAAAGTTTAGTTTAAGCAGTCAACTGCGCCTGTGAAACCACAAAGCTAATGTTTTGATAGCAGTCCGCGGCTGCTGGCGTAGGCTGACGCGTCCTGTGGCCACTCTACAGCTTACGACTGGTCTGTCGGGTTGATAATGGAAAATGGGGAAAAAAAATCGATCTAATTAAATATTTTGTTTGAACACACTATTGTTAATCATATTAAATACAGTACGATACATGTATTGAATGAAATTTATTATTTCCATTATCAACCCGACAGACCAGTTGTAAGCTGTAGAGTGGCCACAGGACGAGTCATCAGCCTACGTCAGCAGCCGCGGACTGCTATGAAAACATTAGCGGCACGGTGGCTGAGTGGATAGCACTCTCGCCTCTCAGCAAGAAGGTCCTGGGTTCGAATCCCGGTCGGACCAGGGCCTTTCTGAGTGGAGTTTGCATGTTCTCCCCGTGTCTGCGTAGGTTTCCTCCGGGTACTCCGGTTTCCCCTACCACTAAAAATATGTACAATAGGTCTGGCATGTGCCTCCTGTACTGGTGACCCCGCTCCCATCTCTGTGTGGAGTGAGAGAAATGCCCAAAATTAACAATTGTAAACCGCTTTGAGACTCAGATCTGCAGTGAAAAGGCGGTATATAAATAAAAACTTACTAACTTACTTACTTACTATTAGCTTTGTGGTTTCAATGGCGCAGTTGACTGCTTAAACGAAACTTTGACTCTTAAAACCCACATGTGACAAAACGGGACCATCAACATCTTGCCTCAAATTGCATTAAAAGTGACATTTGTGTCTTAATTCGTTCGTATTTCAACTTTTAGCGATTCACGGTCCGCCATCTTGGTATGCTTCGGTTGCCGTGAGACGCGCATGCGCAGGTTTGCATTACATCATAAACAGCTGAGGCAGTGCATCTCTTCAAGACAGTGTATCTCGGCGTTACACCGGTGTGAGACCCACACATAATGCGTTGCGTGTTTGGCGCAACGCATTATGGGAGATCATCCACTGCGCAGAACCGGGAGGACCAGACGATGCCCAAATACAGGCGAGTTTCCCATAGATCTTTGCGAGTTTCAGGCAACTTCCGCTAATCTTTCAGCCCCCATGCCGTCACAAAGCGCCACTGAGCACAACCATTCATTTGAATAGGGCGTCATCTTGGATCGCCGGGGCTTGGCATCTATGCGCACTCTGGCGAAGGATATTGCCCATAATTCTTTGCGGTACACACCAAAACGTCGGAAAAATGCATTTAAATATACATTTTGAAATATATATGCAGTATGTGTGTAAATAAGTTTTGCTATGTTACTTGGAAAGAAGCATAAACGTCTGATGAAGAATTACGGACATTGTGTTTTAACAATTTAATGACTTTTTAAAGCAAGCGTTCATATAAGATTCAATTTAAACTTTACACTTAGTACAATAATCTTAGAATGCATAAAAACTGACCAGATAGTTAGTTACCCACATTTAACTTAAAACTATACAGCTATCTCTAATTAAAAACAACTAATATACATGTATTTTAACGTGTGTGAAGCAATTCATTTTGTTTCCCAAAGGGTCAGACAAAATTACCTTTAATGTTTATAAAGTTTAGGTCTGAAAATGACCATCTCTTGACAGTCGATGACGTAACCTGCACTCACTGCGCTCTGTCCCAATTCCGCCTTTTTTGCACACTTGTAACCTGCGCACTCCAACCCTGGTGTGCACTTCGAACAAATGCACACTTGTAGAGGAGTGTAGGGTGCAGGGTGGGTATTGGGATTGGGCCTATGTAAAATTCTGGCTCAGGTTGCCAGATATGCAGACGAATCCAGCTGGGACCATAATAACTGAATAGACAAGAGTTCTATAACCAAAACCTTTTTCACAAAGATAGAAATACTTGTTTTATTCCTTTTTTTGTCATGAATGATTTGAGAATCATAACGAGACCTTTTTTAGCACAGAGGCCACAAGTTACTTTACCTGTGAGAGTGGCTCGACGTGTTGAGTTCTGGCAACCCGGATCTCGCACTTTCTGATTGGTGAAACAGTGGAGAGTGGGACATCGAGATGATAACAAGATTTAGGGGCTGTAAAACTAATTTTGAAATCAAAATATCTGTAAAACTACTTATCAATTAAAGAAGTATTGGAAAAGAGCATGTTTTTATTACAACCTTTTGACAAATTAGGGCCATTTAATGATAACTTGACATCAACATATTGCTACTTTAAGTAAAAAGTATAATTTCCATCTATAGAGACATAAACTCTAACAATATAATGGTTTAGAAGAATGACTAACCACAATGAAGTACAGTAACTCTCTATAAGCATGGTTAACAGCTGCATGGTTTGTTCTGTAGCCCGTGGTCCTGGATCCAAAGCCCCTCCGTCCGTGTATTGGTCTCTCCTTATAGATCAATACATGTGTTCTATATCATTTGTGTTTGAACTGTCAAATTCTCTGATCTGTGTTGGCAATTTCAACAGTTTTTTAAGTCCTCTGAGATGACTGCTGTTGTGATTTAGGGTTATAAAAAATAAATTGAGTTGAATCTAGAAGAATGGATAACCACAGTGAAGTAACTCACTTTTAGACCAGAGAGAGAGACCAACAGTTCTGTTATTTTGTCCCTTTTTGTATTTGCAAAAAACTGAAATAATTACAGTCCCAGTGACTCAATGATTGGATTAGGGCCAAGGGGGGCTCTATGGGGCACTAGGACCAGGGGGTGCACATATATGAGTAAATATAGAACTGTGGCCGTACCATAGACTGTGGCAACTCTACTGTGTCGACATTGAAGTCTGAACCAAGACCAGAATCAGACCAGGACCAGACCGGAGTCACAGGTGAGAGCCCATGAGCCAGACCAGGTCCAGACCAGGACCAGAGTCCCATAAGACGTAGATGTCTAATCCTTTTTTTTTCATGCCTTTTACAGAGTCCTCTTTTACTTATTTTATGTCATATCATTGCATTTTAAATCCTAAAGCAGAAAAGTGATTCTATCTCTTCATTTAATTATATTTTTAGTTTAACCCAGTTTTAATAATTCTGTCTGTCTCGATAGCTTTCATCACATGTATGTTGTCCCTTTTTCACGTCTTTAGATCAGCTCTCAGAATCATTTTTATTGCCACGTAAGTAACAGGAAGTCACAGACTTGGAAATTGCTTTGGCTCAGTGCAACAGTCAGAAAGGGATAATAAAAAAGAAAGAATAAAAAACACTTCTAAGGAATACATTTAAATTTAAAATAGAGTTACAGTTACTATTTACAATATACAAGTGCACATGGTGCACACAATGTAAGGTGACAGCAGTACAATGAAGTAAAGTGACGTATGATGGGCAGTAAAGTGACTTTATAAAGGGCGGGGGGACAGGTTAAGAAGTGTTCAAGAGTCCAACAGCAGAGGGGAAGAAACTGTTCTTGTGGCGGGAGGTTCTAGTCCTGATGGACCGCAGCCTCCTGCCTGAGGGGAGTGGTTGGAATAGTCCATGTGCAGGGTGAGAGGGGTCGGCTGTGATACGACCAGCCCGGCCTCGAGCTCGGGCGACGTACAAGTCCTGCAGCGATGGAAGGCTGCGGCCGATCACTTCCTCTGCAGAGCGCACAATGCGCTGTAGTCTCTGTTTGTCCCTGACTGTGGCTCCAGCGAACCACACGGTGATGGAGGAGGTGAGGATGGACTCGATGATGGCCGTGTAGAACTGCACCAACATCTGTGCAGGCAGCTTGGCTTTCCTGAGCTGCCGCAGGAAGTACATCCTCTGCTGGGCCTTCTTGATGAGGGAGCTGATGGTCGGCTCCCACTTGAGGTCCTGGGTGATGGTGGTGCCCAGGAAACGATAGGACTCCACAGAGGTGATGGGGGAGTCCATCACGGAGGGTGGGGGCGGGGGGACAGTGCTCTTCCTGAAGTCCACAATCATCTCCACTGTCTTCTGGGCGTTCAGCTCCAGGTTGTTACCACTGCACCAGGACACCAGCCGGTCCTCCTCCCTCCTGTAGGCGGACTCATCGTTGTTGGAGATGAGTCCAATGAGGGTGGTGTCGTCCGCGAACTTGATCAGCTTCACAGAGTCGTGGCTGGAGGTGCAGTGGTTGGTGTACAGGGAGAAGAGCAGGGGAGAAAGAACACAGCCCTGTGGGGCTCCTGTATTTATAATCAGAGAGTCCGAGACATTCTTCTCTAGACGCAAGTTGCTACTCCCTGACTTCTGTCAGGAAGTCAGTGATCCACCTGCAGGTGGAATCGGGCACGTTGAGCTGGGAGAGCTTGTCCTGGAGCAGGGATGGCAGGATCGTGTTGAAGGCAGAGCTGAAGTCCACGAACAGTACCCTGGCGTAGGTCCCCGGGGAGTCCAGGTGCTGTAGGATGTGGTGGAGGGCCAGGTTAATGGCGTCGTCTACAGATCTGTTGGCTCTGTAGGCGAACTGCAGGGGGTCCAGGAGGGGGGAGGTGAAGGACTTGAGATGGGAGAGAACCAGGCGTTCAAATGACTTCATGACGACAGATGTAAGTGCTACAGGTCTGTAGTCATTGAGTCCTGTGATCCTGGGCTTCTTCGGGACGGGGACAATGATGGAGGATTTGAAGCAGGCCGGGACATGGCAGGACTGCAGAGAGGTGTTGAAAATGTCCGTGAACACAGGAGTAAGCTCACTGGCGCAGTGTCTCAGAGTGGCCGGAGACACGTGGTCTGGGCCAGGAGCTTTGCGGGGGTGCAGCCTCAAGAAGAGTTGTTTGATATCTTTAGAGGCTATTGTCAACCCTGTGAGTCATTATTTGACTTTCAGGGATCTTTCTTGCCTAAAAGATAACATGTTTTATAATCCCACGAAGACAGTGTGTCTGATTTGTTTTTTGCAGAGCCTGTTCTGTTGAACAAACTACACGTTATTTTTGATACTAATTCAATTCAATAGTTAGCTTAACAATTCAATAGCTCTAAATCAGAGCAATAGTTATCTATGATAAGAAAGATGTCAATCCACAAACACAGATCAGAGAATCAAATAGTTCAGACACAAGAAATGCAATGGTAAAAAATCATTGGTCAATAAGGGGCAGAGACCACTGTCCATAAATGTTGTTGAATGTTGAGTGTCCTTGATCGTCATCGTCCTTAGACCCTCCTGCATCAGAGAGGAACTACTCAAAAACTCAGTGGGAGAAAAGTGAGAAACTTCTTGGGGGGCACATTCAGGGAGGAATCATGTCCTACAGATGGACAGGCTGTAGATCCAGGACTCAGGCTGTAGGACACAAAGCAGAACTGAGGTGGCTCCCGGGCGGGAAGGGGGTGCAGCTCATTAGTCCGGGCTGAGGAAGAGAGTCTGCAGGTGCAGATGGAGGAGGGCGGGTTCAGGGATCCCAACATCACGACATGAAGATTGTTACGTACACCAGCTTTAAACCAGTGGCCAAAATGACGTGCACTGACATGCTTGCAATACCACCCCGGGCCGATAGGGGGGGGGGGACCCGGAATAAGAATTAGCCAATGCTAACATATAGCATCTTCTGACCCCTCAAAAACGTCTTTATAGGATGGTCCAAAAGCTGACTCTTGGCCCAAAGCTCCGTTCCACATGTGTGTCAATGCTGAGGGGGGTGAATTTTTTTGGACCAGTCTAGTTTAGTTGCTGTGAATTTTTGAAGGCTCTCGTTCAAATGAATGGAGTTGCGCCGGCTGACGCATGCGCAGATGCGTTTTTCCACAATTTTCTTGTGGGTAGGACCGCTCGCTGCCATTTTGGATAGCTCCAGTAGAGCAGAATTTTTGGTCCATTTGTTTGAATGGCGTAGATAGGCGTGACTACGTCCGTTAATATATACAGTCTATGCTCCTTGCGTCTTACCTCTCTCTCTCTCTCTCTCTCTCGCTCTTTGTGCCTCTCTCTCCCTCCCCCCGTCTCTCGCACCTGTGCTTCGCAAAGACTTGGTTTGATCCGGAGCTGAGAGCCAGACTCTAGATGTGTTGTGGGATTTTTAATAATATGCTGGTTCTCTTATCTTTACAGTATATAATGTTTGTGGACGTTTTTGCATTGACGATTTAATGCTATTTTATTTGAATAATTATGGTAAATCTGACTTTTAAAGTCAGTGCCTCCCCAATCAAAAACGTCACCGCACGTCCCAGATCTCAACGCTAGATGGGAGTAAAATCCACACATTGTTCCTTTGAACACATGATATTCATGAGATTAAAGTCACAGACCCCAGCTCTAATAATGTGTTATTCATGAGACTAAGATTACATCCCCCAGCTTTAAGTACCTTTCTCCTGCAGATGCTGGAGCTGTGTAAAATCACCCCCTTCTTGTATATCTCAAACGCGCGCTCGGCCTGCAGTACCGCCCTCCTCCTGCAGGAGCGCATCACACAGTGCATCAACGTGAGCACGAAGCAGCCGTTTCCTGCGGTGATGCTGACACAGCTGCGCGTGAGCGTGCTGGACGAGCCGCAGCAGGACCTATACGCACACCTGGATGTGTGTGCAGACGCCATAGCGGCCGAGGAGCAGCGCGGTGGCAGGACGCTGGTGTTCTGCAAGAATGGGAGGAGCCGCTCTGCAACTGTCTGCACTGCGTACCTGCTGAAGTACCAACAGCTGTCTGTGGAGGGCGCTCTGCAGGTCAGCCAAACTCTGGTCTCTTTCTATGGTCTCTCTATGGTCTCTCCTTGGTGTCTCTCTGGTCTCTTTCCGGTCTCTCTATGGTCTCTCTCTCTGGTCTCTCCCTGGTGTCTCTCTGGTCTCTTTCCGGTCTCTCTCTGGTCTTTCTTTGTTTTTTCTCTGGTCTCAATGTTCTTTGTCTCCACCTACAGATAGTAAGAGCAACACGTCATGTGATCCAACCAAACCCCGGTTTCATGTTACAGTTGCAGACCTACGAGTCAGATCTACGGGAGAGGAGAGAGATGACCTCCTCCAGGAGCATACAGAGTGCAGAGAGCTGACCTGGATCCTGGAGGAGAGCACCTCATCACCCCGTGTAGATGCCACCACCCCATCATCATCAAGGGGTCTCCAGTGGAGAGACTGGACTGTTTTAAATCCCTCGGGGTGCACATCTCACATGACCTGAGCTGGACCCCTCACTTTACCTTTGTGGTGAAGAAAGCACGTCAGCGCCTGTACCTCCTGAGGCGTCTGACGGACCTGAAGCTAAACTTCTACACCTGAACCACTGAGAGTCCTGACGGGGAGCATCACTGTGTAGATGGGAGGCTGCACTCATCAGGATGGACCTCCATCAATTAAAGGACATTCACATCCAAAAATGTCACTGGAGAGCCCAAAAGATCGTACAGGACAGCAGCCACCCTAACGCTTTCTAGAGACTCACGCCACTACCGAGCTGCACTGTCCAGCCCAAAAAAGGAGGCTTGCATATTTTTACTCATGTAGTGACACAGTGATGGGCTTGGTGGGCTCCCTCCTCAGCAGATGTGGAGCGCATTTCTTGCGGCTCGCCCTCACTGTTCTCCTACCGCGGTAAAGTGGGCCGGCTTTCCGGAGTCAGCGGTAAAGAGGTCCGCACATTAAAAGCGGGCGGCCGCTTTCTGCTGTTACTTTATGCAGTTCATCTCCGCGGCTTCTCTTTCCAAAGTTACTGTCAGTAAAGGCACAAACCGGCCACCCGCTTTTAATGTGCGGACCTCTTTACCTTTGACTCCGAAAAGCCGGGCCTCTTTAACGCGCTGTTCTACCGCTGTCCTCCCTCCCTCCGCTGCCCTCTCTCCCTCTCTTCGCACCATCAGCCTGACCCCTGATACAAGTGACTTTTCTCCCCCTCCGGGTTTTTCTGTTGTGGATATTAACCACGTTTCATTTTAAAGCAGGTATTATTTATTTGTAGCCTCCAAACACCTTTAGTTTTAGCAGACAACAGCAGGACACGCTTTGTCGCTGCGCATGATGTGAGCTGTGTTACGTGATGATTTTGATTGACGCTGCAATGACTGGGACAAAATTACTAACGTTATTAAAATATATTATAGTCTCCAAACACAATTTAACAAGTAGTCCTTTTGAATCAAATCAAATGCTAAATAAATATTTAAGGGCTTTATATTTGCTCAAAAAAAAAAATCTTTTTTTTTTGTTTGTGTGCAAATCATCTTGCGACCCCCCCAGGGGTTCCCGCGACCCCCCGGGGGGTCGGGACCCCCACTTTGGGAACCACTGCTCTAGACCAATACTGAGAGGATAAGAAGGAGTTTCTTTCCTGAAGCCATAAGACTATACTAAACTCTAACTCTGTCTCTGTTTCTGTTTTTGTGTGTTCCGATTACAGTACTGAGCCTCTGCTGGAGAATAAGAATTTCACTGCATGTAATGTGTTTGTGACAAACAATAATAAACAAACAATCAAACAAACATAGAGGAGACAGATGACCTCCTCCAGTAGGTCAGCTGTCTCCTCCCCGTTTCTCTAAGCCCCCTAATCGACATCGATGTTTAATGTCAGTGCGGCCCCCAGAGTCTCTGTTAATATAGCATGTTGTTATCATTAAAACCACTACGCCATTTATATTAGGATAAACATTGAAATCTAAAAACAATAAGTATCCATCCATCCATTTTCTACCCTTTAATCCATTTCTGAGTCAGGGGGGTGGCAATCAGAGATGCCACCCAAGTCTCATAGCACCAGCCCCTCACTGACCCTCTGCAGGTGGTGAGTCCACAGGAGGACGGCTGCTCTCTGAGTGTGAGCATAGCCTTGATCTTTCAGTGGGGGCTTTGGGCAAAGTGGGGTTAAGGTGTCTTGCCCAAGGACACAACGACAGCAGTCATCAGTGGGAGTCGGTGGAGAAAGTGTAGAGGTGGGAATTGAACCCTCGACCTTCAGGCCTGAAGGACCAAAGGCTTCGCTGCCTTTGGTCCTCCTTTTGTCCATAGAAAAACATAAAACATTTCAAGTATTAGTATTATTTGGTCAACGTTCCTACCTAAATAAACTTTTCACAAATTCTACATTCTTGGTTATTCTGATTTTGTTTTTCTACCAGAACAAACAGTTACTTTCTCTACATTTAATGTTAAGGAGAAGATCCATTTGCTCCTATGTTTATATATTTTGCACAAACACGTGATAAATACACCTCTTACGCCTCACCCAGACTGGCCCTCGTGCGACCCCTTGCTGAGATTTTGACCCGTGCTTTAGATGATCGTGAGATGTCTGTAACAAACACTTCCCAAGAGCTGTTTCATTTCCACTGGACTTTATTTATTCCAGAAGAAGTCACACATTTCTACATTTCTGTTAAACTCTCAGGCTTATTTCCATATAAGTACTAAACAGGCCTTTTCACAGCCTGAACATTGTTGAAAATGCTAGAAATTGTACTCAAATTGTAAGTTAGTCTTTGGGGATTCTGTGGATGTGAACATTTTCATGTCTACAATAGTTTGCAAGAGAAGAGTACATTAGGCTACATTATCCAAAAATGTTGGTTCGCCTAAAAAAAACACTTAAAAATTGTGTATATATGACATAATTACTTGTAAAGAAGCAAATAAAAAGAATCAAATGCAACTTCAACCTTTTACTGACACCTCGGGGCAAAGGTTATGTTTGTATACCAAAAAAATAACAATTTATGCAGGTTTTGATGTGAAAAATCCAGGCAGGAATGCATCTGGCACAGTTTGGCACAAAAAAAGTAAAATGTGAAATATCTCCATGAAATTGAAAAATGTAGATGCTGTTACATATTGGGTCATAAAAATGCATTTTTTTTCATAAAAAAATACAAATGTTTTATAAAAACCCACTTCGAGCATCTCCGTGCGTGAATACTTTTTCGCAGGGTGACAACTCCTTTTACGCACATTTTTGTCTAAATCTATCCTGGACCAATCACGTACTTCTTGGCATCGTTGGAAAGCTAATCCTGCCTAGAAACAGGAAATGCTTCAACGTGATCGGACAGAAACACCCTGCTACTTCCTGGAGGCGTTTACCCTCGAGGGGCAGAGACTGTCTTGGGGAGTTTGGGTTTCTCTTCATGTGTTTATGCTGCTATAAATCTGATTGATCTGAAATCGAAGTGTATGAGTTTCTGCTGAACATTTTGGTGGGTTTTTTGTGTAGCTAGGTGCCATGTTGATCTATCAGTGTGTTTGTGTGTCAAAGTCGGTGTGCCCCCACCGGCAAGCTTTAAGGGGTTAAAGCTGGGGTATGTAACTTTAGTCTCATAAATACATATACATATGTTTAATGGTCCCTGCTTTTTAAATATCATTGCAGTGTTATGTGGCCTTCATCCACATTCCCTCAAGCTTTAGTTAGAGAGCGATCTTTCTCTTTCATTCTCGAGAGTCAGCAAAACAACCAATTCCAATTTGTGAGGTGGCACCAATTTGTGATCAAAAAAGCCCGCCTCCAGGAGGTGAAGGACGGGGAGAAACCGAAAAAGTGAATCGGTGCATGCAGCCTCTCTCCAAGTCCAGGGTCTGGTCCATAGACCATACTAAATATTAGTATGGTCCCAAAGTCTACCACCCATAGACTGTGCTTTTTGTGTTAGCATCATGTAGCATCAATGTGTTTTTGGATTGTAACAGGATGTAAATCTGTGACGACAGTATTGGACCCAAAGGCGAATGAGGGTCTCCTTAATTGATGATCTGCCTCTGAAATCCACAACAAATCTGTTTTTCTGCGAGAGACACCTGATCTGCAAACATGGCCGTACACTACTGTTAACTAAATAATTAGGGTCTGATTCTGGATTGAGGACTCTTTGGCGGATCACCATTGATGAAAACAGTATATTCTCAGGTCTGAAATGACTCTGAAAAGACAAAAGCTGAACAGTTACACTTTTGGGCTGTGTGTTTACAAAGTTAGCGTGAGGCTAACAGGGGGAGGAGCACATATTTCAATTGAAGTGAAGAAATGGCTATATTTTCAAGTTTAGAAAGTTGCATGGTGTATTACTCACATTATTTTCACACCTGTGCTTAGGATGGACAGTGAAAAATGAAGAAGAGCAAAATATGGGAGCTTTAAAGCTGGGATATGTTTTTTTGGCCATCTGCGTCAGTGATTGGAAATGGAGTTGACTCTAATGAGCTGCATTTGACCCAGACCCTATGAGACAACAGCAGCAATGTGTTTAGGAGCACAGGGAAAAGCTTGAATTATAAATGTATGTGTTTGGACAGATACAGGGGACTCACTGTCCGTGTGTGTAGTGTTCTGAGTCTGTCCTATCCACGGGGTGACTCTTTGGGATTAGAGATGATTGGCTGAGTGTGGGTGATTCTCTCGGCCACTTTTATGATCTATAAAAGTGGATTTTAAGGCCAAAAATGTGAAAAATAGACCAAGACCCAGTCCCAGAACTCAAAATATATATACATCCTGGCTCTGATACGCTATTTTAGAGCCTGGATCTAGAGACTTGAGGTCTCTTGTTGTGGTCCGAAATGTATGTAGCGTGGCTTTAAAGTTACTACCCCAGCCCTAATTATGTGTTTTCCCTTAAATAAATTAATTTAAAGGATTTAGTGCAAAAATGCTAAATTGTCTTTATATGTTTATCTTGAACAATTCCCAAAGTAAATTCCCAAAGGTTTATTCTAGTATGTCTCAAGGCCCCCAGTTTGGGAAGCGTTGCATGAGGATAGATGTGATGATCCTGTTGTCAGGGCGTGGCGTTCGGCCTGTGCTGTGTGCGCTCCCACTGCTCTTTGACCTCTGAGATCCAGCTCATATAGTTGGACACTTTGGTGTAAATCCCCAGCTTGTCCTCGCGCCCGCAGCCCTCCTCGCCCCAGGACACCAGTCCCACCAGGAACCATGTGTCCCGGTACCGCGTGACCATGGGCCCGCCGCTGTCGCCCTCGCAGGCGTCGTACGGCTTGCCCAACACGCCTGCGCACAGCACGTTCTCCGACACGTTGTTGGTCATGAGGGGCGCGCACACAGAGCGCTCCACCAGCGGGATCTTGATGACGTTCAGTGTGGAGCTGTAGCGAGCGCTGTCCACGTCCTCTTTGCCCCAGCCTGACACCACTGTCACGGTGCCGTTCTGGTGCAGCACGCGGCGGGCCGTATCAGCACGCGGCAGACACACGGGCAGGATGTAGGGGGACAGGGGGGCGGGGCTCTCCAGCCGCAAGAGAGCGATGTCGTGGTCCATGGTGCGGCTGTTGTACTGTGGGTGTCTGAAGGAGCGCACCACGCGCAGCAACACCTCAGTGTACTCGTCACGCAGCCGATCGTAGTCTCCTACACACACACACACACACACACACACACACACACACACACACACACACACACACACACACACACACACACACACACACACACACACACACACACACACACACACACACACACACAGTCAGAGAGCTCATGTAGAAGTCAAACACCAGCTGCTGCACCACCTGTGCACAGCCTGGGACCATACTACCAGGATCTACAGCCTCTCAAAATCTCACTCTCAGAGGGAACAATGGCAGACCTTGATGAAAGTTACAAGTATCTTGGTAAACTACAAGCAAATGGCAACCTCGAACAGGCAACGAAGAATGTGGCAACTGTCAAATACCTCCTTAGAGTGAGGCAATCAACTACTACACCTTTGTAACAGGGTACTTGTATCACTACACTGCCACTTTGAGCTTAGGTGTGGTTTTCTTGGTTTGTGTTTTTTCTTTGTTTGGTGTGGGCCATGTTTTTTAATTAGTTGGCAGCTGTGGTGGGCGGTACTTCCTGCTTTAAAAGCTCAGTGCACCTTTTCCTCTCCCTTACACTCTCCCTCTGCTTGGTGTGTAACAGGTCAGTCCTGTCACAAACATTCCTTGTTAATTTAGCAGACTTTTCACCTTATGTTTATTATATTCGCTTACACTCTCCCTCTGCTTGGTGTGAACAGAGCTCGGGTCCTCCAGGCGGTCTGAAGGCCAGCGGTTCTGCGCAGAATCTGTGGCCTGCTGGGGACAAAGCCACACCAGCACGGCCAACCCAAACCGCTTGCACCCTTAAGTTTTAGCTCCAGCCTCTCCCCTCTGATTTTTACCCGAATAGTTTTTAATTATACTTTTTAAAGACACTCTTTTGTAAATAAATCATTTTAAATGTTTAACTGTCGTTGTCTCCTTGTACCCTGGTGATCAGAACCCAAAGATTGACGGTGTTACACCTTGCCAGTGATCAGATACCATGAAGGAATCAGGTGGCCAAAGGAATAGATTCAGACAACAGACAAAACTCGAAAGGTCCTCACCATGCATGGCAGCTTCCATCACAAAGACTGTACATAAGCCGTACAGAAGGAGGCTAAGGACTGGTGAGTGTGAAAGCCACTGTCCAGCACAAAACATCCAAACTCCATAACTACATCATGGAGAAGGCTCAAACGAATGACATACTCAGAAAATGTCTCAGACAATGCGAGATGAGGAGGTGCTGGAGGAGAGCCCATCATGGGAGGACAAGCCCTACATGGCATGTACCCCCGGAACATAGCAGAAGTGGCTGATCTCAAGAAGTTCTACCAAAGGGCTGGTTTACAGGACTGCACAGAGGCACTCATCATGACTGCACAGGAGCAGCCCTGAAGCTGGAGAGGCCTTGAGGGTAAAGGTGACAGTAGTGCCCGTGGTGATCGGTGCACTCGGGGCAGTGACCCCAAGGCTGGCGGAGTGGTTACAGCTGATCCCTGGAACTACCTCGGAAATCTCGATCCAGAAATCTGCAGTGCTAGGAACAGCAAAGATATTGCGCAGAACCCTCGGGCTCCCTTGTGACGGTGCTGAGAGAGGGAGAACCGCCCGCGGAGGGTGAACGTAGCAACTTAAAAAATATATTAATGTTCCTGTTGTGTGTCTCACCCAGTCGGACCCGGAAGCGAACGATGCTCTGCAGACAGTGTGCAGCTGTCAGGACCCAGCTGCGGTCGATCAGGACCCCCCCACAGTGCAGCCCACCACGGGCGTTCAGCACCATCACCTGAGGGCCATACCACACTTATCATCAGCATGTACAGTTTGTCTCTGTGTGTCTCCCTCTCTCTTTGTCTCTCTATGTGTATGTGTGTCTCTCTCTCTGTGTTCTTTCCCTCTGTGTGTGTCTCACCTGCCAGGGGCTCTCTCCCTTCTTGCCGACTTCTCCCCCCACTACCCAGGGCTGCAGACCCTCCACCGGCTCAGAGTAAGAGGAGCGGCTGATGAGCAGCTGTCCACACGAGGACTGACCTGTGTGGGAGAGGCAGTCAGCCCTCTGCTTGGTCCTGGTCCTAGACTTGGTCTTGGTCCTAGTCTAGTTTTCATCTAATTGTCATGGTTTTCATAGTGTCATAGTTCAATTTTGTCAGTCAAAACAGTGAAAAAATAGGACCACCCTCAAATAGTGACTCTTACAGGTTTTCTTATAAGTCGAAGGCATCATCTTGTGGTCTGATATACAGTGTATATGTCAGGATGTGAGTGCAGGGTAGATGCAGTTTTAGATCATTGCATGTTTTGTTTACATTTTCTTTTGCATGTTGCATGTGTTTAGTGCATGTTGTGTTTTTATGAACATGTGAGTGCACCCCTGCACAAATGGACTGCTCCGCATTTTTAACCAATCAGAAACTTTCCCCAGTGGTGTGGTGCGACGTAATGATTGTTAAGAGGCAGGGCCAGGAAGCAGAGACAGGGTCACCGGTGCGCGTGTGGACCGTGGACGCTGGATTAGACTGACACCAGACCCCCCAGCACCAGCGGGGATCAAAAGGTTGACCGAGCGCTGTGCAGAGGAGCCTTGCAGTGGGGCCGTGCAGTGGGGCCGTGCAGTGGGGCCGTACAGTGGAGCCGTGCAGTGGAGCCGTTCAGTGGAGCCGTGCAGTGGGGCCGTGCAGTGGGGCCGTGCAGTGGGGCCGTGCAGTGGAGCCGTGCAGTGGAGCCGGCTGATACTAGTGATGGCAATATGAAGCCCCATGAAGCCTTGAGGGATCGCAGCCTATTACTCGGCCCATAAGTCGAAGGCTCGAGGTGAATCATGCTCCACTACGCCATCATGTAGACAAAGAAATACATAACACTCTTAAGTGCTTACAATGAATGGTGAGATCTAATGTTAAAATGTATATTTACAATCTATGGTCTAACGTGTTGTGTTTGAAATGATGCTTCATGAACTATGAACTATTTGAGTCTTTCAGTCAATTGTGTTGATACAACAAACACATCCAAAGTAATACAGTTCTACAGAAAGTGATTAATGGAGGAAAAACTACCAAGAGGTGGATTAATTAAACACAACAAACCATTTATTCCCAATAAATAAATACATTTACTTTGCAACACAAAATGTATTATGGGTAGACCAGGATTCGAACGCTATATCTTCTACTTCGGAGTCCGTCATATACCGACTGCGCCACCGCTGTTGTGAAATGTATTATCCAGCGTAATATTACTAATAACTTGAAGCCTTGATATATGAGGATTTACTAAAGTGAAACGTTTTTAATTGTATTTCATATGAAGTAGTTTCTCTATACTTAGTACAGGACTGCTCCACATCACGCACACACACGTACGCACACAGAGGCAGACGGGGACAGCCAATACAGTCTATGGTACAGCCGCGGATCACAAAGCACCTGTCAAAGCAATGCACTCTCCGAACGATATGAAGCACTATATGAACCGTCACGTGGTGCGGTCGCTACGCGAGGCTTCGAACGTCACCACATACGTCACCAACACACGCCTCGAACCACGCTTAAAAAAATACGCCCCTTTTTTACTCGGTACACGCTTCGAAGACCTGGCACGCTCAGCACATCACTAGCTGATACGCCTGAAAAACAGCTAAGTGAAGGGACGTCTGCACGCGGGCCTCTGCATCGCAGAGCTTGCTGATTTTAACTTAATTGTGCATACACCAATTTTAGCCCTCTCCCCGCAGCTCCCTGGACTGGTGGAGGTGACGGGAATTTTAGCATGGCTATCGGCATCGGACCTTTCCTTTTTTTAGATACATTTTATAACGCACTTTTATCTGTTATCTTTTTCTTTCTTTCAACTTGTACAAAATAAAACTGTTCATTTTTTCCTATTTTGTGAGTTGTGTTGTATGGCCCGGGCTTGATTTTATACAGTTGCTATTAAACTGTGACATATACAGTATGTGTATAGATATATATATATATATATATATATATATATATATATATATATATGATCATTCACGATCTCACGATACATGGCCCCATTCATTCTTTCCTTTACATTGATCAGTCGTCCTGGTCCCTTTGCAGAAAAACACCCGAAAGCATAATGTTTCCACCCCCATGCTTCACAGTAGGTGTTTTGTTCTTTGGATGCAGTTCAGCATTCTTTCTCCTCCAAACACAAAGAGTTGAGTTTTTAACAAACAGTTCTATTTTGGTTTCATCTGATCCTCTGCTGTATCATCCATGTGCTCTCAGCAAACTTCAGAAGGGCCTTGACATGTACTGGCTTCAGCAGGGGACACGTGTTACTGATGGTATCCTTTGTTACTTTGCCTTTTCACTTGTACATGTATGTGTATGTATTTTCCATCCATCCATCCATTTTCTTCCCCTTAATCCATTTCTGGGTCGGGGGGTGACAGTCAGAGCTGCACCCAGTGCACTTAGCACTAGCCCCTCCATGTATGTATTTTATACTGTTTTATTTAATTTTTTTATCTTTCGTGCCGGTGAAGCACTTTGGGCAGCTGGTGTTGTTGTAAATGTGCTATACAAATAAAGTTGACATTGACAAAGACTTTGGTCCCAGCTCTCTACAGGTCCTTCACTAGGTGCCCCGAGATTATCAGTGGTCTTGTATGTCTTCCATTTTCTTATAATTCAGTCTTCCCAGGCTGGTGCAGGTCTACAATTTTGTTTCTGGTGTCCCTTAACAGCTCTTTGGTCTTAGCCATAGTGGAGTTTGGAGTGTGAAGAAGGAGTTACAGGTCTGTGAGAGACGCACCTCTTGCTTGTTTGTAGGTGTATTACTATCCTACATAATTTGAAAATATTTTTTTTACAATTCCAAAATCCAAAAAAAAAAAAAAAAAAAGCTGATTTTCTGGATTTTTTTCTCAATCTGTCTTTCATAGTTTAGGTATACCTATGATGAAAACTAAAGGCCTCCCTCATTGTTTTGTGGGAGAACTTGCACAATTTTATGAATTTCAGCCATATCAGGACGGACCAATCAGATACAGCAGAATTGGCCTTCTCTGCATGAAGCCTAACACTATGGTGATGTCACACTCGTTCTGTCCACTATGGTTGTACTGCAGTCCTCCAGCAGGGGCGCACTGACCTGTGGGCACACACTTGCGGTGGTCGGCCTCCAGTTTGTATCCTTCCACACAGCTGCAGACGCGGCGCACCTCTTCCTCGTTCTCATCACAGTTGTGGTCACAGCCGCCATTGTCTACGGAACAGTTTCTGTAGATCTGAGCTGGACACAAGAACACACTGTTATCCAAAACAAGACCAGAGAGAGAGTCCGCAGAGAGAGACCAGAGAGAAGAACCAGGGAGAGAGACCAGAGAGAAACCAGGGAGAGACCAAAGATAGATCAAAGAGAGACTAGAGGGAGACCATGTACACTGAAAAAAAGTAAACCCATCAAAACTCACGCTGGTCGCAGTAGTGTCCCTCAAAGCCTGGGTCACAGCGGCAGGCGTAGGCTTGGAACAGGTCCACACAGGCACCATGGACGCACTGGTTGGAGCGGCACTGGTTTCCATCTACTCACCACATTATTGTGACTCATGTGTTTAATGTACAGTGGGTGTAGTGTACAGTGCAGGGGTTATGTGTTCTATAAAATAACCCACAATATGTGCAATTCTTGGAGTAGCAACTAAAATGTTTTCATTTGCTGTAAAACCCCATACCATATAAAATACTGTACACTTTTCAATCCACCTGAATTCAGTAGTGCTGGGGAGAAACCAGGAAGAGATTTCAGAGAGAGAGAGAGACCAGATTGAGGCCATAGTGAGACCAGAGAGAGACACCAGAGTGAGGCCAAAGCGAGACCAGAAAGAGACCAGAATGAGACCAGAGAGTGAAATGAGAGAGTGACCAGAGAGGCCTGAGGGAGAACAGAGAGAGCCACAAAAGTTTTCTTCTGACTTTATATTTAGGTACTGTAACTGTCATGTTATCTAGTATCCCTACATTGCTCTCTCTACACCTTTGTGATGATGTAATGCACATGGTTACCTGTGTAGACCGTCCAGAACTCCAGCTGAGGACAGAGCACAGTCAGTTTTCATCACCGACATCAGAAACATGTGGGGAGCAGGTTCTTACTGTAGTTTCTCTGGTCAGGAAGATCTCGCGGGCCTCCTCAAAGTCACACCTCTCCTCTACACACTCCCGCTCCAGGTTAGCGGGCTTCAGCTCCTCCAAGAAGGTGTTGGCCCTTCGAGTCCTCAGCAGGGAGTGGGCAGAGCGGACGTCCTGGAAGACTGCGGAGACCAGGACAACAGACGCACTCAGGGTATGAGAGGGATATGGTGGCACATAGTGGACCAGTCCTGTGTGAGACTGAAACCACCAAACATAGTTGAATGAGCACCGGAGCACTGACTTCTGCTGGTTCCTACACAGCAACCCTCCTCCTCCCCATCACCTCCTCATTTCAGACCAGCTCTTTCACTCTTCTTCTCGCTCCCAGCCGGGGTCTTAGCCCCAAATTATATTCACATTTCTCTTCAGCAGCAATAAATGTAATCTTTAAACCTTGTCTGTAGAGTCGTATGTACTGATTCATGTGGTGGCAGTTAATTGCAACAAATATACAAATCCACTAAACCCCTGTTTTCTCTGTTCCAGTCCCTCCAGAGTGAACAGCACTCACCTGATGAAGTTTGCACAGAGCAGCACAGCAGGGCGCACAGCAGGGGGCACAGCAGGGGGCACAGCAGGGGGCGGGCCATCACGGCTCTGCAACACAAACACAAAGGGGTCAGAGGCCCCAGTAAACGTGCACTATAATAGGTTATTTTTGTGGTTAGGGGGAAAACAATTTAGATGTTAACAAGGTGACACATCTGACTCGTGTTTTATAGGGACCAAAAGAGAAAATTTCAGCACTAGAAAACTTGACTCTTTCTATCGTTTATTTCTGTCATTAATTTTTATGAAATTAGCTTTCACTTTTCAAAAGTCAGGAGTTCTACTTGACCTTTTAAAAGTAAAAGTCAGTGGAATATTCTCCACCAGAGAATATTAAGAGCTCTGCTCTGTCTGGTGTACACTGGGTTATGAGTCTTGCACAGTTTTTCCAATGTGGTTTTACCAAAAATGGCAAATCAAATAGAATCTTGAACTTGTTTTGTCAATCTTCTCATGGACGACACCACCCTCATTGGACTCATCTCCAACAACGATGAGTCCGCCTACAGGAGGGAGGTGGACCGGCTGGTGTCCTGGTGCAGTGGTGACAACCTGGAGCTGAACGCCCAGAAGACAGTGGAGATGATTGTGGACTTCAGGAAGAGCACTGTCCCCCCCCCCCCCCCCGCCCCACCCTCCGTGATGGACTCCCCCATCACCTCTGTGGAGACCTATTGTTTCCTGGGCACCACCATCACCCAGGACCTCAAGTGGGAGCCGACCATCAGCTCCCTCATCAAGAAGGCCCAGCAGAGGATGTACTTCCTGCGGCAGCTCAGGAAAGCCAAGCTGCCTGCACAGATGTTGGTGCAGTTCTACACGGCCATCATCGAGTCCATCCTCACCTCCTCCATCACCGTGTGGTTCGCTGGAGCCACAGTCAGGGACAAACAGAGACTACAGCGCATTGTGCGCTCTGCAGAGGGTTAGGGTTAGGGTTAGGAGCTGGAGGCCGGGCTGGTCGTATCACAGCCGACCCCTCTCACCCTGCACATGGACTATTCCAACCACTCCCCTCAGGCAGGAGGCTACGTTCCATCAGGACTAGAACCTCCCGCCACAAGAACAGTTTCTTCCCCTCTGCTGTTGGACTCTTGAACACTTTTTAACCTTAATTTAAATGTATTCCTTAGTGTTTTTTATTCTTTATTTTTTATTATCTCTTTCTGACTGTTGCACTGAGCCAAAGCAATTTCCAAGTCTGTGACTTCCTGTTACTTACGTGGCAATAAAAATGATTCTTATTCTGATTCTGATTCATGGACACACACACACACATACACACACACTGCACTGAGGCCTGAAGAGTGTGAAACCCAGATCAGAATTGGAGCTGGAGGCAGAACAAAGGAAGGACTCAGATAATAACTCTCACTCATCACTCTGCATCAGGAGGAATTGAAAGTCTTCTTTATATAGCGCAATTCACAAACAGAGCTCACACAATGTTTTGGTTCACACAGAGTTAACAGAAGCAAGACAGTCACAACTATTGTACATGTTTTTAGTGGTAGGGGAAACCAGAGCACAAGAAGGAAATCTACACAGGCCACAGGGAGAACACAAGCGCTACGGTGTGAGATAACATGAAGTTGTGTTTAGCTCCATTCACGCTAATATCAGGAACTTCTGGTATCATGTAGCTCCGCCCCTTCTGTCTAGACGCTTCTGTCTCAGTCGGGAGTAATGGACTGACCTTAGACTGTAAATATTAACGAGCAAAGAGCCAACTTTTGGTCCAGGCTTTAAAGCTGTTTTCAAGAGTTAAAAAGGCGTCATAAGAATTCATAGGATAATTCTGTTTCCGGGTACACCACCACAGGCAAGGGGTCAGATTACAAGCATGTCAGTGCACATACTCACAGACCCTTTTGAGCCGAGACCTGCCCACACTGGTATTGTAAAACAGTACCAGCCTTTATGCAGAGGAGGCAGATATGAGAAGCTAGCTGCAGCCAATTTCACTGAATAATACTGATGCATTATTATTATTATCAATCCTTATGTGGCTCATATCTGGATCTATTATAAACACGAGGATCACAGATAGCCTCCTGCCTCTGTCTCTGTGCCACTTGTCCGAGTCGTGCCCGAGTCGTGTGCTGGACCTGGGTCTATAAACAGTGTGTCTGGCATAAGGCCATGTTTGATGTGGACCTGTACCAAAGTCCAAGCTGAACTTAAAACTTTATCTTTTTAGAAATTTAGAAAATGCTGAACTTAATTGTTGACAAGCCTCGACACATCTCCATGATAACAAATTAGTAGTAATAACAATTTTATTTCAAACGTTATACAAAATGAAACCACATCAAATAAAGTTACACACTTAGAAACGATAAAACAAGACACAAAATTAACAGAAATAAACTGAAAAAGAGGCTGGAGGAAGCAAACGCTTTTTTGGCTCCGATCCAACTCAACACACGCACACATGGCCAAACCACACACACAAGACACAAGCTCAACAGACACACGCACAAGACACAGGCCTGAACACTCTCTGACCACACACCTCTCCTCGTTTTTAAATTCCTTGTCTTTGTCCTCCCCGGGACCTTGACGTTTTCTGGTACCTCACTCACAAGCCCGAAACCTAACCCCACGCTGGTGTCAGAGGTGTGTGTGTGTGTGTGTGTGTGTGTGTGGGTGGGTGTGTGTGTGTGTGGGTGGGTGTGAGTATTCCCACCATAGTCTATGAAAGCAACACAACCACGCAGGTTATCCACGGTGTTGTCTGAGTATTGATCAGAGAGCCCAGCGGGTCCCTGTGTGTTCCCTTGCACTTTGAACCTGCCCCAGTTTGTGTGGACCAGGCTTCAACACTTCCCACTGGAACTGTCCCTTCTGGTCTCTCTCTGGTCCCTCTCTTCTCTCTCTCTCTGGTCTCCCTCTAGTCTCTCTCTTCTCTCTGGTCTCTCTTAGGTCTCTCTCGTCTCTCTCACTGTTCTCTATGGACTCTGTCTGTTCTCTTTCTGGTCTCTCTCTTTTATCTCTTTGGTCTCTCTCTTGTCTCTCTCTGTCATCTCTTTGGTCTCTCTCTGGTCTCTCTTTGGCCTCTGGAGTCTCTCGTGTGGTTGTACTCACTCTGGAAGACCAAGGAACCCAGGTTTTTCTGCTCCGCTGTGGTCCTGCTCGACAAATGACTGAGCGTCTGTGTTTGTTCAGAGTCCAAAAGTGTCCACAAAACATAACCACGTGATAGAGCTTTGGTCTGAGAGCGGAGGAGGCTGTGTTTAGGTCAACATCCTCAATAAGGAAGTGCTCATTCTGAAGTTTGGCTCAACTCTCTCTGGCTCCTATTGACTTACATGTAAAAGTAAACTCTTATTGCTCTCTGTGATTCTGGTATTCATATTGAGATATTGTCTTTGTAAATCCAGATTCAGTATGAGCCATTAAAGGTGTGACCAATTAGAGGTGAGGGAAACTCCAGTTGGCCTTGGTCACACGTCTGCCCCTGTTATAGTGCGAAGCTAACAGCATGGTAATAATGCTCTTATAAGGACATTTTCCACAGCTAGCTTATGTTCAAATCAGCTTCTTCTGCATTAAAAGCAGTGGGTCACATAGCTCGTTGGGGGATTGTGTGTGTTTGGGTAGGTCTGTGTGTGTGTGTGTGTGTGTGTGTGTGTGTGTGTGTGTGTGTGTGTGTGCTAGGGGATTTTTGCTCTTTACTCTCAAATGTGAGTAAATCTCAGGGGAACCCATGATGAGAGAGAGATCTGCTCCCACAGACGGGCTATAGATCCAGGACTGATGCTGTAGATCCAGGACTGAGGCTGAAGATCCAGGACTGAGGCTGAAGATCCAGGACTGATGATGAAGATCCAGGACTGATGCTGTAGAGCCAGGACTGAGGCTGTAGATCCAGGACTGAGGCTGTAGATCCAGGACTGAGGCTGTAGATCCAGGACTGAGGCTGTAGATCCAGGACTGAGGCTGAAGATCCAGGACTGATGCTGTAGAGCCAGGACTGAGGCTGTAGATCCAGGACTGAGGCTGTAGATCCAGGACTGAGGCTTAGATCCAGGACTGAGGCTGAAGATCCAGGACTGAGGCTGTAGACCCAGGACTGAGGCTGAAGATCCAGGACTGAAGAAGCTTCATTCATGGACATTGGTCTCTCCCTATGGACCAGTACATTATGTGTTTTAAATGTTTTGTCTTAACTGTTGATTTTCTGATCTGTGTTGGCAATTTCAACCGTTTTGTTAAGTCTTCTGAGATGACTATTCTTGTGATTTAGGACTATACAAGAATAAATTATATTGTATTATAACAGTATTCCTAGGCGGGTGCAGCCCACGAGTTTGGGTTGTGGGAGACCGGGTTCAGAGGGCCCATCATCACATCTATTATAGGTCTGACTGTTATGAGTGAAGCATCACGCCTCTGTTGTCACTGTGTGGAGAGAATACAATAAAATGACAGAATGAACCAAATAAAGATTGCTTCATGTGATGAGTTTAGAAACGTCGTGGGCAGCAGTGTGGAGTTTGCATGTTCTGAATGTCTGAATGTAATGATAGAGTGAATATACAGAGTTGTTTGGAGGCTTTGATGCTCAGGTTAGTTCTGCGTCTCGTTTCCGTGATCATCCTGTAAAGAGATTGGAAATGTATCTGAACTCTGAACATTGTACAGTAAAGTGCTTTGGGTGACCTTGGTCTGTAACATGCGCTGTATAAATGAACGTGACTTACGTACCTTCAGTGTCAGTGTTCCTGAGCGGAGGTGCAGGTGCTGCAGGTGACACCGGAGACGCTCCTCTTTATGGCACGTCTCCAGCTTTGACTCAGACAAAAGTGCAAACAGTAACATGGCACAAAGGCCCAACGCAGAGCGGCACAAAAGCATTGGGCTATGAATGGTTTAACCTTAATACGTGTCCTAGTTTCCAGTGGATCAGTCTTTCTCTGATCTCTCTGGTGTCTCTCTCTAGTCTCCCTATGGTCTCTCTCTTGTCTTTCTCTTGTCTCTCTCTAGTCTCTCTCTGGTCTCTCTCTTATCTTTATCTGGTCTCTCTCTAGTCTCTCTCTGGTCTCTCTCTAGTCTCTCTAGTCTCTCTCTAGTCTCTCTCTGGTCTCTCTCTAGTCTCTCTCTAGTCTCTCTCTTGTCTTTCTCTGGTCTCTCTCTAGTCTCTCTCTGGTCTCTCTCTGGTCTCTCTCTTGTCTTTCTCTGGTCTCTCTCTAGTCTCTCGCTGGTCTCTCTCTTGTCTTTATTTGGTCTCTCTCTAGTTTCTCTCTGGTCTCTCTCTTGTCTTTCTCTGGTCTCTTTCTAGTCTCTCTAGTCTCTCTCTAGTCTCTCTCTGGTCTCTCTCTAGTCTCTCTCTAGTCTCTCTCTAGTCTCTCTCTAGTCTCTCTCTTGTCTTTCTCTTGTCTTTCTCTGGTCTCTCTCTGGTCTCTCTAGTCTCTCTCTCTGGTCTCTCTCTAGTCTCTCTCTAGTCTCTCTCTGGTCTCTCTCTGGTCTCTCTTTAGTCTCTCTCTAGTCTCTCTCTGGTCTCTCTCTGGTCTCTCTCTAGTCTCTCTCTCTGGTCTCTCTCTAGTCTCTCTCTAGTCTCTCTCTGGTCTCTCTCTGGTCTCTCTTTAGTCTCTCTCTAGTCTCTGTCTAATCTCTCTCTGGTCTTTCTCTGGTCTCTCTCTGGTCTCTCTCTGGTCTCTCTCTAGTCTCTCTCTGGTCTTTCTCTGGTCTCTCTCTGGTCTCTCTCTGGTCTTTCTCTGGTCTCTCTCTTGTCTCTCTCTGGTCTCTCTCTGGTCTCTCTCTGGTCTCTCTTTAGTCTCTCTCTAGTCTCTCTCTAATCTCTCTCTAATCTCTCTCTAATCTCTCTCTGGTCTTTCTCTGGTCTCTCTCTGGTCTCTCTCTGGTCTCTCTCTAGTCTCTCTCTAGTCTCTCTCTAATCTCTCTCTGGTCTTTCTCTGGTCTCTCTCTGGTCTTTCTCTGGTCTCTGTCTTGTCTCTCTCTGGTCTCTCTCTGGTCTCTCTCTGGTCTTTCTCTGGTCTCTGTCTTGTCTCTCTCTGGTCTCTCTCTGGTCTCTCTCTTGTCTCTCTCTTGTCTCTCTCTAGTCTCTCTCTGGTCTCTCTCTGGTCTCTCTCTGGTCTCTCTTTGGTAGTCTCTCACTCGTCTCTCTTTACTGCCTCAGTCCTGGATCTACAACCTGTTCTCTTTTTCTCTGGTCTCTCTATTTAGTCCCTCCCTCAATTTTGTCCCTCTAGTCTCTTTCTCCAATCTCCATCTGGTCTCTCTGTGATCCCTCCTTGGTCTCACTCTCGTCTCTCTGTGATCCCTCTTCTGGTCTTTCCGTGATCTCTCTTTGGGCTCGCTCTGGTCTCTCTCTGTCTCTTCAAGCTCCATACAGTGTGACATGTTTATAGTCTCTATAGTCTCCGGTTGTAAAGCAGTTAGTAACGATTATCTGAACTATTTTGGATCCAACACTATTTTAAGAACACGACAATGAGTTATATGACCCAAACAGCTCAGTTTATGCCCTGGAGCTACAGCTGCCACGGCACGCACACAGTACCAGGAAACGGCTTTAAAGTAGGCCTGCACAGGGGAAAGACAGGAGAGGACAGGTATAACACTAGGAGAAAGACAGGAGAGGACCGGCATAACACTAGGAGAAAGACAAGAGAAGACCGGTATAACACTAGGAGAAAGACAAGAGAGGACCGGCATAACACTAGGAGAAAGACAAGAGAGGACCGGCATAACACTAGGAGAAAGACAAGAGAGGACCGGCATAACACTAGGAGAAAGACAGGAGAGGACCGGCATAACACTAGGAGAAAGACAGCAGAGGACCGGCATAACACTAGGAGAAAGACAGGAGAGGACCGGCATAACACTAGGAGAAAGACAAGAGAAGACCGGCATAACACTAGGAGAAATACAGGAGAGGACAGGCATAACACTAGGAGAAAGACAGGAGAGGACCGGCATAACACTAGGAGAAAGACAGGAGAGGACCGGCATAACACTAAGGAGAAAGACAGGAGAGGACCGGCATAACACTAGGAGAAAGACAGGAGAGGACCGGCATAACACTAGGAGAAAGACAGGAGAGGACCGGCATAACACTAGGAGAAAGACAGGAGAGGACCGGCATAACACTAGGAGAAAGACAAGAGAAGACCGGCATAACACTAGGAGAAAGACAGGAGAGGACAGGCATAACACTAGGAGAAAGACAAGAGAAGACCGGCATAACACTAGGAGAAAAACAAGAGAAGACCGGCATAACACTAGGAGAAATACAGGAGAGGACAGGCATAACACTAGGAGAAAGACAGGAGAGGACCGGCATAACACTAGGAGAAAGACAGGAGAGGACCGGCATAACACTAGGAGAAAGACAGGAGAGGACCGGTACAACAACACTAGGAGAAAGACAGGAGAGGACCGGCATAACACTAGGAGAAAGACAAGAGAGGACCGGCATAACACTAGGAGAAAGACAAGAGAGGACCGGCAAAACACTGGAGAAAGACAGCAGAGGACCAGCATAACACTGGAGAAAGACAGGAGAGGACCGGTACAACACTAGGAGAGAGACAGCAGAGGACCAGCATAACACTGGAGAAAGACAAGAGAGGACCGGTACAACACTAGGAGAAAGACAGGAGAGGACCGGCATAACACTAGGAGAAAGACAAGAGAGGACCGGCATAACACTAGGAGAAAGACAAGAGAGGACCGGCATAACACTAGGAGAAAGACAAGAGAGGACCGGCATAACACTAGTTACAACTGAGTCAATGTCGCCCGTGATCCTGGTGTTTATATTGTGATATTGTCTTTGTAGCGAGCTCAAAACCACACATTTCTAATCCCGAAATGATGAATTGAGAAGTTTACTTTTATATGTAAGTCAATAGGAGCCAGAGAGTTCTGGTGTTATTGAAACTGTTTTAGTTGGATCTATTTCACAGTGTCAATTGTTTACTGTTTTGTTTGTATTATTTCTGTACTTGTCTTGTGCACACTGGGGACATTTGCAAATGTTTTCCAATGTGGTTTTAGAGCAATTGGCAAATACATCAATCTGAATCTGACTCTGAGAGTTCAAGCCAAAACTTGCTATCGAGTTAGCATTGTGTGAGCAGGTTAGCATTGTCCGTTCGTATACATTCCGTGGAGCCTCAGTCTCTGATAGTGGAACTCCAGGTCTGCGACTGATGAGGAACATGGTAAAAAAACAAAAAAACCTGAAATAACATGTTTTCCCTGATGGTGACTGCGATAGTGAGAGATGTAAGGATAGACCCAGGTCCCACCCGGTCCCAGGTCTTTGTCCCGGGACAGAAACCAGGCCAGGACCTGGGTGCGGTCTATTAAAGAGCGGCTCCGACGGTGACGCTGTTCATTTGAGTGGAACTGGACGACTTCTCAACAGTGAGTTCAGGACGCAGCTTCCAGATCGCAGACTGACAGGATCTAACCGTAAGGCCACCGTCTTTTCATGTCCTAAATATTGCTTTCTCCAGATCATATGGGAATCCAGAAATCAAGGTTTGCGTTTGAATTGGAAAAATGTGATCATCAACAACCGGTTTGATATTGAGCTTTTTGAATACTCTGTTCTTTCGTGGTCTCGCTGTCTCACAGGTTTGTATGGAATGTTGCTTTTTTTACAGTGTTATTCATGCACCTCGTGTGTGTAATCTAACAACATCATAGACGAACTAGTATAACATGACAGTTTACTATCACCCTTACTTGGACAGTTTCCCTCTGGTGTCTCTCGCTGATCTCTTTCTGGTTTCTCTCTGGTGTCTGTCTGTGGCCTCTCTCTGGTCTATTTCTCTGGTCACTTTCTGGTCTCTATCTGGTGTCTCCCTGGTCTCTCTGGTCTCTCTGGTCTCTCTCTGGTCTCTCTCTGGTCTCTCTCTGGTCTCTCTCTGGTCTCTCTCTCTGGTCTGTCTCTGGTCTCTCCCCGGTCTCTCTCTGGTCTCTCTCTGGTCTCTCTGGTCTCTCCCTGGTCTCTCTGGTCTCTCTGGTCTCTCTCTGGTCTCTCTCTGGTCTCTCTCTGGTCTCTCTCTGGTCTCTCTCTGGTCTCTCTCTGGTCTCTCTCTCTGGTCTGTCTCTGGTCTCTCCCCGGTCTCTCTCTGGCCTCTCTCTCTCTGATCCCTCTCTGATCCCTCTCTGATCTCTTTCTGGTCTTGCTGCAAGGACTTCACTTTTTGTGGGATATCTTTGGAACAAGTCGCCTCCACCATAAACCAGGGACCAGCGTATTCACATTTTGCGCGAGACTTTATTTGAAAATATCATCCATTCTCTAACACGATTATAGTCACAGTCTACAGATCATTCAGATCCTCACCTTTTGTTGTTGTTGTCAGAACCCTCCACTCGCTCTGAGCTGGACCTGGAGAGTACAAACTGTGCTCTCCGCATTGGTGTGAAAGGAGAGAAGCAGTGTAGCAGGATTTAGCAGCAGAGCTAGTTTACACCTGTCGTCCCAGAGCAGGTTGTAAAAAGGCAAAACGTTAAACTCATTGTGTTCAAGGGCTGAAAGAATAGAAGAGATTTCCTTTTCTTATGATAGTTTTTATATTATGAAAGACTTTTAAGTGACATGAGTTTCACTGTTATTCTCTGGTTGATTTTTCTGTAAAACAAACACACATTGTTTTATGTCTAACTATTTGGATATGCACTGACATTGCTGTTCCTGCTGCTGCCCAGAGAGGAGACAGCTCTGAAATGCGCTTCAATTCATATTGAGTTTATTTGAAAAAAGTGCTGCAGTTATTTTAAAGTTAGTAGAATATATGCTGAAATAAATGTTTAAGTGTAAAGTACAAATTCCTAAAAGT